GAAACCTTTCATATAGTATGGCACTAGAGTATATCTATTACTTCAAAAAAAAATAAAAACAAAGAATTGTATAAAAATAATATTACTGACCATTAAACTATATGTATAACCATCCTTATAAAAACTATCATGCTAAGGGATTTTGATAACATATTGACAGTGGCTTAAAGTAAAGTCTGGTCAGCAGAGAGGTCAAAAAAAGGGAAGAAAAACTGAAATTACAGAAATCTTAACACCAAAATCAATAATTTGAAAAATTTAAATAGGGATAACTTTAAAACACTGTTTGATAAGGCCACATATTATCAGTTATCACTTTATTATCACATGCATCTCAACAACTTGTTTTAGCGACAAATCTTCAGAGTACCCAAAATAAAACACAGAGTTAATAAAAGATGTACACATACATCTAATTTTTCTTGTTTATAGAATATCATACATAGTCACTTTTGAATGAAAATACGCTTGTATAAGCAACTGTTTCACTTTAAAACCTTGCCTTTCAAAAGACAGATGAAATTGGCACATCAGTTTGTTAAAAGAAATGAATTATCATTCAATATCTTCCATTTACTTCCTTTAAATTAATTTTTCTTTTCTTTTCAAAGGTTCAAATCTTCAAGTAACAACAACTAACAAAAATTACAACAAACTCACATGATAATTTCTGCATAGTACGAACATTTTGACTTTATAAAACATGAAAAAACCATCTCTCCTTTATCTAGAATTTCTCACAACTTTGTACAAAGAACACTGTCATCACAATAAAATATCTATGATATGCAGAAAATGAATGGAGCCGTGTCATGACAAAACCAACATAATGGGTTTGCGACCAGCATGGATCCAGACCAGCCTGCGCATCCGCGCAGTCTGATCAGGATCCATGCTGTTCGCTATCAGTTTCTCTACTTGTTATATGTTTTGTAAGCGAACAGCATGGATCCTGATCAGGATAGCGAACAGCATGGATCCTGATCAGACTGTGCGGATGCGCAGGCTGGTCTGGATCCATGCTGGTCGCAAACCCATTATGTTGGTTTTGTCATGACGCGGCTCAATGTATATAAACAGATGGTATGGGAATACACTTCTTGATATATATATAACATAATTTACACTTGCCATAAACAACTCTTTGCTTTATATTTACATCATAACAACTCGTTTTAGCATCACTATTAACAAATATCCCCCCGAAAAAAGCTGAAGTCAGAAATTTGAAATAAACTTAGAAAACCAAAAACAGTCCCATACTTAAACAAGAATACATATCCCACTACCCTTCCATCCCCTCATTACAGTAAACATGCAACTCACACAGAAAATGTTTATTTCTCCTAAAAACAACAAGATTGAATACCAGTCTGCAAAAGGAGCACTTTCATTGGTCAATTTCAAATTTCTACTTTAATTCAAGCAATCAGATGCAGGAACTTAAAGACAGGTTTACAATTTCAATGTTTATAATATCAGGACCATAGAAACCTGTTAAATCGCTTTTTAACAGCCAAACTAAAGCATAAATAAATAATAGCACAAATTACTTAAAACGCAACAAACAAAAATAATTATATTCATAACAAAATTCAAATTATAGGAATAAAATGCCAAAATGGTCAAGGCTAAAACAGACAAGGCCAAATATATTCAAAAATATCGAAAACAGAAACACAGCTTGGTAAATTTACTACATGAGCCTTTGCACACATTTTGGGATTGTCCTCAATGACAAAACAACATAGTATCAATATTTTGCATTTTAACATGATCTAGTTGTTCTGCTGATGGAAAAATATCTGAACATGGCTCTTTTATTATTATTATACACAAGATAAATACACATTAAATATTTCTCTATTGTTTGTTTTAGATGCAATAAACAATAGTTCTCAATATATTTTGTATATTATAAGGGTGGTAACTTGAACAATTCTTTTTCTACAGCAGAATTCAGAAAAGTTTGTTTTTTATCCCGGTGTTTGTTTATTTTTGTTAGCAAAATAACCAAAACCTGCTAATTAATAAGACACATTACAGCATAGTTTGCATCACAAAGTAAAAATGAGTTTTAGAAACATGAATAATTCAAACAGCATAAAAATAACTTTTTCAAGGATTAAATACACTGGAAAACTACTTAATGTCATCCATAAGCAATTATTTACTTACATATTACATATCATATGAATCAAAACACATTAAAGTTGCATAAAAAAAGCAAAAAGTTCTGTGATAAAAACATGAGAACCAGGTCAACTGGCCTTACAATATGAATATCACAATGTATAAAAAAAACCTCCAGCTTTATAGTAAAATATAATATAATATCTTTAACACTCCAAAATAACAGTGACAATAGGAATTATACACATGATTTGGTCTAGATTGTGTAAAAAATATATGCACCGCAACATCCAACATTACACAGCATATTCCCCAAGGTGAATAAAGCAACACGTGTAAACAAATATCAGTGAATAGAGTAACACGTGTTAACGAAATATCACTGGCTATTTAAACTAACTACAAAAGCGAACATTCACTTTACATGGTCAAACGCTGCACATTCTTTGTAGAATATTAAATTTTGTTAAAAATTTGATGCAAATAATTATTACCAAGCTGTAACAATGTTTGAGATTATATACTTAGTATATAAGAGAAAACATTTTTACAGTTATTACCTTGGTAATGAAATATCTCTATAACATGAAAATGCAGGTTGATTTTTGCTATACAATTATTAATGTTCTTTTAATACAATCCAATACGCAAATTAAGGACTGTCCAACCTGCTTATGTATTTACCACAGTCTTGTGTTGTTACCATAATGATAATTTCAAAACAACATAAAATCAGCAACAAGATGTTTTTCTTAAAGTACATTAAATAACAATAATATTAATTATTAAAATACAGCCAAATACTGATCAACCACTTAAAAAGCTGTGACAAAGGTATCACATGTGTAGAGCTAGGCAAGTCAACACAATTCTTCAGTGTGACCTTGATACATACTGCTAGCTGACCAAATTAAAAATTTCATCCCAATATTTACAAAATTGATAATGGAAAAACAAGAACATTTTGCTGGTAGCTAATACTTGCTATACATCATAATTCAAGAAATGTATGACCTTCAGTAAAGGAAATACAAATAATGTTCAAGTTCAGATAACTCAATTTGCACCCAAAAGCTGCAGATGCATCCATTAAAATGAAGAGACAGGTAAGAAAATTGTAAGTTACTAAAATCTACTGTTCACATGAATATACATGTATGTTTAATTAAAACATTATTATGTACATATACTGGCCTAAATGTGGAGTAATTTCAGATTTTATTTAATGCAGCATTTACTATAATTTGGCAGATCTAACTAAATACTAAACTAATAGAAATATTACCCTCTAAAAAATAAGACAGTCAAACCTATGCAAAGACTACTACTGGATAAAGAACACCCAGATAAAGACCATCTGATCTGTAACATCCTGAGGGTTTATCTCAATATTATCAAATCCTGTTTTTAAATTCTAGGTAATAAACAATTTTGAGATGAGCCCTCAATATTTTGTACATTTTAATGTATCAACAAAATGGACCTCTCTAAGTAAAAAAAAAAAAGACATTTTTTTTATTTCTTTCTACACTGGTCTGTGTACAGGCTTGACTATAAATTATTTAATTTGCCTTGAAGAAAATCTTTGTTAAATAATTAGTTATAAAAAAGATAGTTAAAAAAATAAGAATGTTTTATTTTACTGTGTTGTTCTGAGACAGTAAAAATATGCAAGATTCCTAAAGTTGTTAAAAGCTTAATATCTTAATACTAACATTTTATGATTTTTCATAATAACTTCTTTAATAATATATACAAACATCAGCTCAGTTGAGTTTAGGTATTTCTAAATAAAGTAACAATTAACCCTGTCATAAGGAAATGTTCTTTGCTCAAACTCAGATCTGTGGCATTTGAATGGTCATAAAACCACTAAAGAATTTACACCTACCAATGGAAATCCAGAGATCCAAAGAAGAAACTCGAGGTAAAATGTTTTATAACCTCAAAGCCAGGTCTCTTAGAAATACTGCATAGTTTAAATTTGATATCCTAACAAATCGTTTTGAATAAGTACTGCTGTTTAAAACTAAGACTATTATAGACTGAAGTGTTAATGCATTATAACACGTTTTAGTAACCTTGACTTTCAACGTAATATGTTTATAATTGGGGGTCACCCTTATTGTTGGAGCCCAATTAAAAAAAAATGTTTATAAAACATGCAGCTCCCTTTCTTGTAATGATTTTTGATCATATATTGTTACATAACTGAACTAACATCATATAAATACAGTAAACAGTTATGATTTTCTTAAATTTCATATATCTGTACATGTATATGATTTAATTATTATTGATGATACTATGTACATAAAATACTCGTGAGACAAAATGAGATACTTTTGATTTTAAATACTCTTTGACTTGCCTTTAAATTTTTTCATAACATAAACAAACTCCCTGTTCAAATCATAACATGCAAAACAACTTAAACAAGACATTCAATCTGAAATCTAGTAACATATATATTAAATCGTAGGAGTTCACAATTTTAATAGTAAGAATGGGAATCAAATCCTTGGAAGACAACCAATCAAAAATGCTTGCTAACTCTAATCTAACAATAGATCCAACTTAACAAAAGTTCCCAGTTTTTCAAGCAGGAATGTTTCACTTAATAGTTTTTCGTAATATTCCATCACATATTTGCAATAAATACAAATCTCATAAGATTTCCCCACTATACATATAGTCTGTTGATACTGTGCATTCTTTAAACTGCTATAAAAAGTAAGTTCACTTATTCAAGTGATACTGATTCGAGTAAATACTACATGTTTATTGTCTCCCACCATTTTGTTTAACAGTCTCCTCTAATGTTAGACTTCACCATAAGTTCCATTCTCCATCCAGATTTTTTGTTGTTGACATTCTATACATTTGTATATTCAACTCCAGACCAGAACTCATTTCACTTTATGAATTATCTCCCTTATGGTTTATTCATCAAGAGTAGTGTCCCTTTATGTAAATAATGAGTAACTTCCACAGTAGTCTCCCCTGACTACTCACACCTCATGTCCAACACGGCCATCTTTGAGTAGTTCCTGGACTTTGCTGTCCTCAGATTGGTTTCCATCTGAAGGTATTACCGGGACCTGCATATTCACTGTTGTAATGTAGGCCAACTTCTCCCTGGAAACACATAGAATAATTTGTGGTGATGTAAGAAAAATTATTTCATTTAATCAATAAATCAAAGTAAAGTAAGTTTGTCTCCAGTAAACTCTGGATTAAGCCAATGATATTTTACCTTTTAAATGCCTACACAATCTCATTAAAACTTTATATATACAAATGTACATGAACACAAATTTTAAAATGAACTATGGAATAAATTCAACTATGCAAATAACATTATAACTGAAGCTCATCACCCATCTCCCTGACCCATTGTGTTCTTTCCTGGCAATTGGTTTACAATGTAGGCAAATGATTATGAGCTTTGAATACAAAATAGATGATAATTTGCATGTTTACATGTATTTTTCTATCATTTGTAATTTGCTGTAAGTATGTATTTACTTCATTGCATTAAATGTTTGAATTGAATTGAATTTTTTTAAAAGTTGAATATGTACATGGTCATTACCTATTACACTGTCATTTTCATCTAGTTCAAAGGTTTGAAAAATAATTGCACAAATGAGCCGCGTCACAACAAAACCAACATAGTGCGTTTGCGACCAGCATGCATCCAGACCAGCCTGCACATCCACGCAGTCTGATCAGGATCCATGCTGTTCGCTTACCAACCCTATAACAAGTAGAGAAACTGATAGCGAACAGCATGGATCCTGATCAGACTGTGCAGATGCGCAGGTTGGTCTTGATCCATGCTGGTCGCAAACCCATTATGTTGGTTTTGTCATGACGCGGCTCATTTATTTCTACAAATCACAATTTATCAGGCAGTGGAACAATGCTAGATATGGTATACACAAGGTTATGTTTTTTGCAACAGAATCATGTATCACAAGTATATAAACTGATTGGGGGTACTGGAGAGAAGAAAAAAAAGCACATATTGTTTCACACACCATACATATAAACATGTCCAGTCAAAAGAGCAAACATTTCAATAGAATTAACCTTAAAATGTTTATTGTCATTAGTGATCTTTAAATGTCTAGACTACCATATTATTTTCTTATGTATCTATTTTCTTATGTATTTAATGATACCAGATGAAGACTTTGGAGTCAAAACGTGATTTTTTAAATAATACAATTTTAAAATGATGATTTGACAAATAAGATAATAGCACTTCTTTCATTCTTATTTAACATGTAACTATTTGATATAAATAGTTCATATAAAGCCAATTAAACATCAATGGATGGATTTGATGCTTTGATACAGTTAATACATGTATCAAAAATTTAATCTATTTTTAGCCTTGGTGAACGTTGCCAATTCAAGCTTAGTCACAACCAGAGGTAGAGCTCATCAAATGTAACTACATACAATATATCTAAGATAACAGTCTTTGAATGAACGTATTATTATCAATGGTAATTGTTTGGGAAGGACTGAAGGATGTTATAACCTGAAACTGTATAATGGTCCATCACTTTATTTGAATATAAAAATATATTTTTCAAATGGTGTATTTTTGTTTGTCCATTTTGTTGATTTTCTTGTAGGCAAATATCTATCAATATTATTATGAAACTTCCCTATGGCGATTGCCTTTGGCAAACAAAAATTAAGAAATGGGCTTCTCTAATTTTAAATGCATTTTTAGGATCAAAAGTTGACAAAAACTTAAAATAAATAAGCCAACCATATAATGAATGGGTAAATAATTTCTTCTGGTTATTTCAGAGATGTTTTCATGCCATCTTATCATGCACAAAACAGCAAAAGCATTGTACATAATGTTTATTTTTTCTTTCATAACAAGCCGTAACATTCATATTTTTAAATAATTCATCAGCTATCATTTACACACCACAAAAACTTCCAAATTTCAAAAACCCAATCAATTTACCATAGGATCTTGATAACCTCTGTAAATTCAAATCTTTACATTCAAACACTTTCAATTCTGTTAGCAATAATTTGTTTAAAATTTTTCAAAGAAAATCGGCAGAATTATTAAAACTGAATTAAATACATACAGTCTAAACAGAATTCACAAAAACTGCCAGGCCGGGGTTTAGCTCGGGAAAAAGCCACATTTGCTGAGTTCCGGATAACATCTACTTGTGAATGTAAGAATTATTTCACTTTTTTTTCCATTAGATAAAGTTACTTCTTAAAGAGAATCAAAACTTGATAACTTTAGTGATATATCATACTTGGACAGGAATCTAACCCTTGCCATGCTAAATATCTTAAATGGACTTCGCCATTTTTAGGGAAATTTCAAAAAAAAATTTAAAAACCCCTGAAAAAAACCGTGCAGCCCATAAATTCGGGGACGCAGGGATTTTTTTTGGGGGATATTTTTCTGCTCAAAACAAAAATTTTTTTGTTTTCAGGATTTTGGGGAAGGGAAAATTTAAATATTTTTGGATGGGGGGCATGGTTTCCCTGGGCCATGGGGGTTTTAAAACCCCGTCTGGGCAAGCGGGGTTTGTTTCCTTGAGCAAGAAACTTTACACTTATTTCTAAGTACTGGTTTGTTCCAGGAACAGATTCGAGAATGTTTCAATACGTGTATAGCTTCCAACACAATCAAACTAAAGTAAATTCATACAAAGTAAATAATGCCATTGAATTTGATCTGATAATGACCTTTTTATATTACACTGAAACAATATATAAATTTTGATTATTATTCTTTTCACATGCATGGTATAATTGTGCACCGGAAAATAAACTATTTACCTGAAAGATGTAGTGAGTGCATTAGGATGGTTCCGTTTTAACCGATGTACATCTCGTGTTACCCTCTTCATTAACTGTTCTGCACGTCTCTCTTGCTTGGTCATCTGACCCATTTCTTCACGTTGACGCTGCAAGAACATTAGACAATTAAAATTACAAAAATTTACAACTTTAATTGAACATTTTTTTTTTATTTGAACATAAAATTTTAGACAACACTAACTGATAAGTTGAAACAAAAGAAGTCTTTATTTACATTAATTCCAACTTCTCTGCAAAAAAAACCAGAAACATTATTACAGGTTCTGTGTTTGCTTAAAAATATATCTTTGTGTATTATAATTTTTCAAATCTTATAAATAAGAATACAATAGACTAATTTTGATATTAACTCTGATCACGCTAAATATCTTAAATGGACCTGTCCTTTTATTATGGACTGTTGTACCATTAATCATTTTCAAGAGAAATCTCGAACATATGTACTGACAGAATAGGAAATGGATCAGACCATGACAGTACAGCTGTGCCAGCTGATTGTGGCAAGCAGACTATGCACTTGTCACATGGGTATAATCATTTAATACCAGCAGGTTTAAGATCAATTATAAATCCAGTAAAAATTGAGTGTAATTTAACAAATGCAGTGCTAAATAAAATTCAGACATTCTCATGCACAAATTGACAGACAGACAGACAGATGGGCAATTATTATTATGCCTCCTTTATAAGGGGCTAAAAACTAAAAAATCTCTACTAAAAATACATCTTAGTGTATGAATCATGCAGTTTTCTTTCTGTTATTCTTGTACAGAAGTATGCAACATCGGGGACAGAAAATCTAACTGAACAAAAATACTATGCTTTGTCTGGCAGGCAGATGTTAACATTCACATAAATGCAATACAAATGTATGGTAAAAAAAAATTCATGCCAATAATCATGCTTCAGACTGGTCAAAAATCAGTATTTATTTGTTTTTGTCAGCATATCAAGTTTGTTTATGTACATGCTCATCCATAAATATTGTTCTAAGCAAAAATACAGTCTTAAAATAAATAACTTTTCAGCTTTAAACATTTTTCTTGCCTCACAGTAATGCTTTTATGCACATATTTTTTACACAAAAAAGTCACACTTTAAACAAAGGCTACTACAGTAGATATGTTAGTGTATAACAATTTAGTAATGCTCATGTATATATGAATTTATTGTTAAATTAGCAGCTCTGTTACAATAAGAGTAAAGTTTTCTTTACAACATAATTTGGCTTAATCAGGAATTATGTTATGATAAGCAAAATAGGAAGAAAAAAACTTGGTGCAAATTCATTTTTTGAGGAAAACTGCACAATTTTAAAGAATCTTTCTTTGGGGAAGTTGCCCTTAAATGGCCCCTGCTATAGGTAGAAAGAAAGCCCTGAAAGGAGTTTATCAGTTGATCTATAATTCAGCTAGATTTAAAGTCAAATCTACACGATTCAAGATCAAATGTTGAGTAAATGACTTTATGACAGCGACAAAGGGGTTTAAAAAATGGAAGAAGTTTGGGAATGTCACTCTCCCCTTTTCTTTTTTGATGAGTAAGTTGTAATTTAGGCAATATGAGAGGGGGAAGATTTCATACAATACCATAAAGGGTGTTTTTCCATATGTTTTATTATTTTAGCTTATTGTAAGTTTAAAACCCAAACCAAATATAAACCGAATGAAAAATACAGGGTAAAAATGCGGCTTTTTTTAAATTTAAAACTTTAATTATCATATTTGATTTATAAGAATACATTCTGTAAACAAAGTATACATTGACATTGCTTGATTATATATGACACAGGTATTGAAACATTTGACACTGGGGGTAACCCATACTCCATGCTGATTATGTTTACGTGCTTTGCTTACTTCCTGTATATGTTCTTGAAATAATTTCCATGTCTATGAAAACATGTTTTGTTATTCATTAATATAATAATGAAAGTAATAACACGAAAATACAACATTTTTTTATTCAAAATTAAATGAAAAAAATTCCCTTTAATTCTGATACTTTAAAATGTACAATTTAACTGAATTTATATAGATTAAAAAGTAATTATAGTAATAAAAATGTTTGTATCTCTGAATAGTAAAAATTTACTTCATAAGACTTCTCTCTTTAAAATCATATACAGTCATAACTAAGTGATCCTAAACAGTAATATAAGATAAGACTCCTACATGTATCTTTATGTATAAAATCCTTGATAAAACTTAACTTATATCATCAGGAATTTTCCTAAATAGATCAAGACTTTTTTCCATGGTATAACAACTTATTTTATAGTTCAGATATTCAGCAAAAGAAGAATCAGAAAAATGGACAGAAAACTACTATTTATTGAAGTATAACTATGTCTCTTAGATTTAAAATAAACATACCATTTTATCAGCTTCACTCAGCAAACTTTGAAAGTGTTCATCATCTGACAGCCATGCTGGAAGTTCAGTCTCTCCTGTACATAAAAAAACCAACAGATTATTTTTCGCATTATCAACTTCTTAAAAATTCAAAAGGCCTTTAGTTTATACAAATTCATTTTAGTTTGACTGTCTTGGGAACTATAAGCTTACTGAAACACTCTTGAATCAGTTCTTAGAAGCAACCAGTACTAAGCAATAAGTGTAATGTTTCTTGCTCAAGAAATAATAGCTTGCCCCTGACAGGCTCTGAACCCACATGGTCAGCAAACCTTAGATAACATGATTACATGAATAGACAAAATGACTATACAAACGAATAAAATAATTTATTTTTTCATGTTTTTGAAATAAGCTACAGAAACTTAATCTTAAAGAGTAAATTCTTTTGTGCAAAAATACTATTCACATTAGAGTACCTCTAGCTTTGGCTTCTTCGATTTTCTTTGTGAGTTCTCTGAGTCGTGAATTTTCATCATTAAGGTGTAACAGCCGTGTCTGCGATGCCTGGAGATCCAGCTCCATATCTAACGATGTACGAGTCACAACCTTACCTCCCCTTAAACCTACACTGCTTGGTGTCTGTAAATATCGGTCAACAATTGCTTTAGTAAACTTGAAGAGCTTATCAGTTTTTAAAAGAGAAAAGATGCAAAATTGAAGAGAAAAGATTAAAATACAGCACAGAGAAATGTTTCAAGACTTGCAATTTATGAGTGAACTTTCAGTTTCAAAGACTTAAAGATTGATTAAAACAACTTAAAATATTGATGAATACAACTTAAATATTGATTAATACAGACTTGATCATGTTGGACTATTGCAAAATCATCATTATTTGTGGGGCACTAATATTCTTGGTTTCATGAAAAGATCAATTTATGATCAAATAACAGTTTATTTTGTTCCATCATTTTTATTACATTATTTTACACACCCTTTTCCATCTCAAACTTCTTCTTTGTAGAGAATTTCTCTGGAAAGGACCTCTTTTATATAAAGGCATAGAACTATCACTGTCACTTCTGTTTAACTGCAATAGAAAAATAAAATCAGTTTAAACAGCCAGTAAATGAGTTTAATTCACAAGGAAACAAGAAGGCATGCAATAATGAGATAGTGTATAGTGTAAGTAACTGTAAGTATAGTGCAAGCAATGTCAATGAAAAAGGCTACCTTATCAGACGAATCATTCTTTCAATTTTTCTTACAGCCTCATCATGAACTGAATGAATGAGATCTTAAATGAATGCAATAGACTATGTAAGAGACTGTCTTTCACAGGACTAACTCCATACATACCTTGCATATATACTGAGCCCCTGGTCCACACGCTGGAGAGAACGTCTGTGACCTTCTAATTCCACTGTTACGACCTTCAGAGCTCTGTAACCTATGACCTGACTCTGCGGCTTGCTGTCGTACATTTAGTGTGTTTGTTTCCTTGTCGCAGGTCTCTGTACGTGAAGGATCATCTTGATCAGTTGATCCTTCACTGGAACAAATACCCTCTAATGTCTTCTCAAACCCTCTTATAACATCTTCTACCATGTCCAAACCATTGTAGTCCTGTAAACAGTAAAGCATGTTACAGTTTCAGAAAGTCACCTGCCATAAATTTATGTTAAATACTTCATAAACTTAAAATTTTTGGATAGCTAAATTTCCCAAAAGGGTACAGTGGTATTGATAAGGGCATGGGACTTTGGGGATCAAAAAGTTCCCAGGCTCGAGTCAATCCCGGAATTCTGACACTTTTCCCTTTAGCGGAAAAATTTTTTTATTTTTTAAATTTCCCCAAGGTGTAATGGGGACCCGAGAAAGGTGGCCAAAATTTCCCTTGGGCCCATAATTTTGGACTGGTTTTTAATAAAAAAACTCTACCCTCGGATCAAAAGATGATTTTTTAGGCCCGACCCTTGTTTTATAAAACTAAAAGATTAAAAGTGGGTTTTTTTTTCAACTTTGGGGAAACTCGCTTATTTTTTAGTTTAATAATATTTGCATTGCATTTGAAACTTGGGGAAATTTTTTATTTAATTTTTTGAAAATTTTTAAATTTTAAAAATTAAACAAATAGCAAAATTGCATTCCCGACCCATCCAGCAAAAGAGCCCTGTCATTATTTTCAGTAGCTTTTTTGAAATAATTTAACAAAGAACATTTATACCAAATCAATCATATTTTCTATTTTCCGTCCCGGCGACCAAAATATTAAAATCAGAACTTAGTTTTTGAGTGTTCATAAGCAGCTCAATCAATGTATCGGGATCCCTTGGTTCCGTGCAACGTTGAAGTTGCGAAGAGATGACGTTGACTGTCACTTCTTTTTTCTTTTAATTGAAACCACTGGGTGAATTGTAGTGTTCTTTCCCCTGGTCTCTCATCTTTGCTGTGAAGCCTCCAACAAATCTTGTAACCTCTGCACTGCTCAATGAAGATTCCCTTCTTAAAATTTTAAAATTTAAAGACATATCATTTAGCCTTTCACCCCTTTAATGATTAGCAAAATATTTAATATTTTAATCCTTACTTTGCTGTCTCGAATCCTAAAGGCAGTAATAGTTTGCCTATTTCATCAATAAAAAGTCAAACAGCCTACAAACCTGAGCTCTATAGTGTTGTATAATATTAATACATATTCCAACAGGGAGTTTAACATAAGAAAAGGTAGAACTACCATATTTAAAGTGACATTATGCTCATATTCTCAAAGTCAGGTTGAGTTAAACTGGCTATATATTTCAAAAGATTGACTGTTTTATAAGTTTAACAGTGATTGACCAACAGTTCATATTGGAAAATGTTTAGGATATAATTTAAATCTGCCTAAACTATAAAGAGACTGCCCCACTCATTTTATGAACTGAATGTTACAGGTAAATTCTAATGGATGTTTATGAAAAATTCGCTTGGATCAGTCCGTTTTTTTTATTGTTATTGTGAAATAACTTTTTATATTAAAAGGAATTATGGCAAAATGAAAACTTATTTTGACTTTCACCTGTTCACTCATTTATACCCTTGTATGGGCATAATGTCACTTTAAATGGACAATTTCTAACAAAATTCATACGATAAAATGCTTTACAGGAAAACCTTATTGATATAATACCATAGAAAAATATAATTTTCTCTGCTAGTTATAAACAAAATGAAAATTTTACATACATAACAAAATGTTAACTTACAATTTGTGTAGTCTCAGAGTGGGTCACAGTTTCTGTCTGGCTGTAAGTGATAGTTACATTTTCTCCCATGGTATCAGCACTACTGGACGACGATTTTTTACTAGGCACTGCGGTATTTGATTGCATCGTATTCGTGTCAGGTTGCATAAATTTAAAGCTAAGAACATTATACCATCTAATTGATATCACATCCTTTGGATCAAAGTCTGCAAGACTTACAGATGCACAACCCTGAAATATACATTGAAAACAAAGGTTTAATGATAATAAAATAAAAAACATTTGCTTTTGGCCCTCTGGACACTGTTTCCAGAAAATATGGCTCAAATATTCTTCTATATATAAACCATGGCATATTGATTATAATAATTCATTGATATTTGGACAGTGGCTTAAGGACTTTCCTGTTGGTGTGACTGTTTGTTTGTTTGATTGGATTTTACATCACACCGAGACAGTATAGGTCATGTGGCGACAAGTCCAGCTTAACAGGTGGAGGAAGATCTCAGGTGTCCTTCTGTGCATTATATCAGACACTAACGGCCACCTGAGTAGACTCATTGACATTCCCTAAGGTTGCTGGATAGCTTCCTCACATGAAAGAATTCAAAGTACTTGTCGGTTAGACAAATGAATAAGTTATTCAATATTTTTTTTCAAAATTTGAGTTGAATATTAATACATTCATTATTATCTAATTAAGAATTGCTAAAGAAGAGTATGACACTTATGAAAAAGACAAACTTACAAAACATTCATCAGGCTGATTGTCTTGAAGACACCAGATGTTCACTTGGAGGGTCTTGGTGAATAAAATACGTTGTGGAATGCTGATACAGAAGAGTTCACTAAACTTCGGGTTCTTTAGATCGCAGGAGGGTTCAGTCACCCAGGACATATCAGGGTTAGGTAGTAATGCTGCCTTTATACACCTGGTTTAATACACAGTACATGAACTATCAAGGTAGTGTACATTAATGATTTAATTCAAAATATCTTTATGAATAATACTGATTGTCATCATTTTCAACAGAACATTTTACATACAAAAATTACATGTATCTGAATGTTTGATTTATAGATTTAGAAATTGGCAATCTTCAATCATAAATATATAAGAAGGATAGTGTATTCAAGAGAAATAGTCAAATCATTTTAAACTATTCCAAATAAGTCCCTAGCGTAAATTTAATTCTAAAAGATGTTACACTTTAACAACTGAAGTTCACATATCATAACAAATGAAGAAGACAAAATTGGAAGGCACCATCATGTCATATAAACATTCCTACAGTTGTCTTGACTGTTTTTTTTTTTTTTTTTGGAGTAGATCCTTTTATTGTTTACATTGTTTATTAATGCTTAACATCAACTATAAATTTTCCATTCTACTATACTGTATTGAGCAAAATTTCATTTTATTCATGAATTTATGAGCAATTTATAACAATAAATGTGGATATGAACTTACACTTTGGAGGATTCTGGGAACTGTAATGCTGCAAGATTCCGAGCTTGTTCTATACCAACATTAAGTAGACTCTCAGAGGTGTCATATCTTAAACATTCAGAATTTTTTTATTCAAACATTGTATATTCGTATCATAACAGAGTTTCAAAAATATAATATATATGTGCCGGTTAACTGTAACATTTCTATAACATATTCATAATGAACCATATAATTTGTTAAGTTAGCAACACAAAATTTTGGTGTATTTTGCAAATTGATGAAAATTGCAAAAATTTCCTCCAACATAATTATCACAAAACCTATCATTTAAGCTACCCTTGCACAATTCACTAAATTTCTTCAAACACAAAATGTCTGGAATTTTAAATTTGCCAACTTTTTGATACACTGAAAATATCCATTTATACAGTATATAAAGTTAAAAGAGCTGACTCATACTCAACAGACATGCAGACTGATATGGCAATTACACTGGCAACAAAAGGTGATTTATTTTTATTATCAGGCACAGCCCTAGTTACTTCTTTCAAATCATGGGGAAAAATGACTGGATATTCTAATGATTTCAATGAAATAAAGCAAGATTATTGTAAGAGAATAGAGACTTACTTCAATTTAATTTGTATTTGAGCACTCTCCATCCCCATCTCTAGAACCTCATCCAACATGTGATCCCTGTAATATATATAACAAATATGATGTAAATATAATTCTTGAAATGAATTAATATAAATGTACAATTCATGATGGGATTTGTCAAGCTCAGCCTCTGTATACTATCAAAGCTACATGCTTCAGATTGAGTCTCAAACTGGGTTAATAAAAACATTTAATATAATATAAGTAGTAAAATAAATGAAATTACACATTTACAATGGAACGGATACATTACATGCGTCAGGTACAAAAAATACAGAATTCACTACTATTATCTAAATTGATTACCATATCTGTCTTTCTATCCTGTAAGCTACATATTAAAGACAATTTCTGCACAATTTTGAATCTTATTTCTTTGGATTTTAAGTTCCTTAGACTAAATTGATTCCCTTGTCAACAATTTAACATGTCCAAACAATTTTTCAAAGTTTCAATTCTATTTTTATTTAACAAAATGATTAAAATCCTTAACAACTGTTCATACATGTATCTTCTTTCAAGTAAAATCAATACAGAAAATGATATTAACTTTTTCCTGAAACCGTAAGTTCCCTTATACATCCAATTCAATGATTGCATGAATGGATATCACGTATAATATCATTTTTATTATTTTATACACACAGTGTTGTCCTTAAAAATTTTCTTTGACAGACTGTTTTAATTTTTGTTTAATCAACCTAAAATGCATCCAAGAAAGTAATTATGGCCAACAGCTGAATAATGACAATCCTGACACTAAACATACCTTTTCACAACAGCTTCAAACACACCACTGTCTCCAGCTACAGATTCATCACTAACCGCTGCTGACACACTACGAGTATTTCCTCCAGATAAATTATTACCCACACCGGAACTACTTTCACTGATTGGACTAAGAGGTGGGTTTGAAGAAACGTCCAAATTTTCCGGATACTGCATCCGTTTTGAAATATTGCTATTTAACACATGATCAGAGTTTAAACTAGTTTCTAATCCATGAGAATGTGCTCCTGCGAATCCAGAGTTCAAGCTCATTTGGCCAACTATGCTTGATGTATCTGTTTTTGAGTGAGTCGGCATAAATGAAGCTTCTAATGCCGCTTTTGATTGGTTGCCGTTGACTTGAGGTACATAAGGGGTGATGTTTGCATTATTTACACTGCTGTTAAATGGAGGGGTTGGGGCAAAGCGTCCCTGGGGGACATAAGGGGGTGGAGGTTTTGAAACATTTGGCACACCAATGTTCATGTGCTGAGTGTATGTTGGCGGTGGACCAGCTTCGTACGACGGAAATGGTTTAATGTCATATGGTGACACTGGCGGTGATAACGACGTTAATGAAGAATGAGGGGAAGCATGTACTAACGATGTTGGTATATGTACACTAACACTTGCACTTGGCACATTTGATGTTAAACTCGAAGTAAGATCCTGATTACTATGGCCTAGCACACTTTGTAAATATCCTCCGGTGGCAGCAGCCATAATGTCCGGTGCTACCGAAACAACAGGGTTCTCGTGTATCGGAGATATACTAGAACTATGTCCCTGTAACAGTTTTTCTACCCTTCGATGTAGGTCCTGCAGATTTGTACCACTAGAGCTAGGCGCTCCGTACAAATCTGTCATACTGAGAGATTGTAGAGACCCTCTACTGCTTTCTGACAAAGAGCCCAGTGAGCCTAAACTACCCAGACTTGAGCCTGATGATATAGATAGTGTACTCATTGACATACTGTAAAAGAGAAATATTAATTATACATCTGTGAAATACAATAGAAAATATAAACTGCTTTTGCAAGATTTTACAAAACATTTCAACATATATATTGCAAATTTTACAGAAAAGATAATATAAAGAAAACTGCATGAGTAAACAGGGTTACAAAATATTTTTTTTTCAGAGTGAAGCATTACGATTTTTTACCCTCGCCTGGCTAAGTATTATAAATTAACTTGTCCATTTTTCAATCTTGACAAAAGCAGTTATCTTTCATGGTGAATTTTTTTTATAAGATATACAGATTGAATAGCCAGAGTGCATACAAAACTAAAGGCTGATCTTGGTCTGCACTGGTTGCATGGGTAGATTCAGTTGTCACTGCCCACTTGCAGACTAAGAGTTAAGATGTCTTAGTTCCTGCTTCAGAAACATTTTTTTAATGGTTGAGTTTTAAGTCACACCAACACAGTATAGGTCATATGGCTACTTTCAAGCTTAACTGGTGGAGGAAGACCTCAGGTGCCTATCCGTACATTAATTCAGGCACAAACACACACCCGAATAGAACCACTGGCATTCTGTTAGCTAGCTGGATACCTTTTCACATGAAAGAATTCAAAGTCCCTGTCGGGACTACAACACACAGCGGTGAGGGCCCAGTGGTTTGAAGTCAACAACCTTTACCATCCTGCCATGGACGCCCCTCACAGACACATTTAAACAAACTTCATGTAACTGATAACTGGTCAAGTATATTATTCCTAATCAATTTACCTTTTAAGTTGAGATTCCAGCATAGTAGTTCTTTTAGTAGTTTCAGCTAAATCTTTTAATATTTCAGTTTTTCTTTCCTGGTGTTTAAGCCTGCGAATAAAATTCAAATAATTATCATTTCAATAAAATACCAAACTTTAGACAGCACAAGGAATTTGCATCAATTAATCCAATGTTCAAAGCCACAAAAACAGTTAAAACATACATTTTTGCAGAGCCAAAGATTGTACATTCTAAACATAAATACTTAAAACAGAATGCACAACATTAAAGATGTTGATATAAAATCTTAAATCCCTTCAGCTGAAAATAAGAAGATACCTATTGTATATCTAGGGTTTATTTACAAACTTAAGCATAACTAAGAAACACAAGTACATGTATACTTAAAACATGTGTTTACTGGTGAAGACCTCAAGTGCCCTTTGTGCTTTATTTCAGGCACAAGAAGGTGCCTGAATAGAACCACAGACATTCCATAAGCTTGCTGGATAGCTTCCTCACATGAAATCAACAATCTTAACCACTGGGCCATGGATGCCCCAAAAATATTTTTACATTTCAGCATTAAATTATGTTGAAAATTTCTAAAATTTTAACTAAATACAATTAAACTGTATATAATTGTTATACAAAGAATTTAAGAAAATTACCTTTCAGCAATTTGTTTATTTGAGATTTCTTTGGCATGATTAAGGTCTACTCCAAGTTGTTGAATACGTAAGTTCACATTTTCTATTTCCTCGGGAGAGCGACCTTTCGGGTCAATACTACGTAATTCTCGTAACAACTGCTCCTTCTCTTGTACAAGAAGAAGTCTGGAATATAAAAACATATTATAGATAATAACACCAAAATTTTATTATATCCATTATATAATGTTATACACTACGATAAAAATTTAAAACAGCATGAACTTTCCACAATTAACTAACAACTTTTCACATTGCTATGTAATCTATGATCAAAATGTCAACGGTTTATATGGCATCATTAAGGCTAAAGAGAAGCATGAAATAGATAATATGTAAAAATAGTAGCTCACAATCTATACAGTAAAATAAATATCAATACAAAGAAAGTCTATTTAAACAATCTGACCAATCAAACAAAATAATACTTATTAGATTTATATGAATCTTGTATTAATGTAGGGAGGTTATTAAGGAAAATGCTGTAGTAAGTTAACAAATTTCAATCCATATTTACAGTAAATCTGTTTCTTTTAAAAAGCAGATATAGATTTCAAAACAAAAAAAGATTTCAAAACAACAATTTCAGTTTTAGGATAATGTCAATGAGCCATTGTTTGTTCAATGCAGATAATAACCCTTTATGTCAGTTTAGGTGCAACTTAAGCACAGAAGGAAGTAGCATACCTGTCTTTGTCTGATTCATTCTGGCCAGGAACCATGTCATCCTCAAGATCAGCTAGCATATGTTTGAGCTGGGACAGCCGGTGCTTAGCTTCATCATACTGAAGTCGAAGACGTGTGATCTCTGCCAGGTACCGGCTACTTGTCAAACCAAACTGTAATGATATGTTAAAAGTAAAATTTAAATCTACATTTCATTTACCATCAAGTTAACTTTGCTGCATAACTTCATTATCAATATTTTTTTAGGGGTTCAGTATCTGGATTCGGAAATTGCATTTTAATGATTTAAGCTATTGATAGTGGTAATCTTGACTATATGATTGCAAAAGAAAGTGTTTTTTTATCACTATTTTGTTAAAGTCTTTAATTTAACTTAATTAATTTTACATAATTATATGGTATACTTTATAATTCAACACTTAAATTTGATTACCCCTAGCAAAATGATAACAAACTTTCACCATTAATAAACAATCACCAATTTCCAAATCAAGAATATTCTTTGGTAAAAATCATATAAAAATGAAAAAAATATACCTCTCCACGGAGGTCAGTTTGAGAAGCAGTTGTAGATTTTTCCTGTATCAAGGACAGGGTAGAGACATCAGGTGAGGAGCCTCCAATCTTTGTTCTCAGAAAATCTTCCTTTAATCTTGCCAATGCCTGAAACATTCAAGTATTATATTTTATTTTCTTAATTCTTTATGAAGCATATGCACTGAATTCTTTCTCCATAAAATTTAATTGTGAGAAAATATTGTTTCTTCCCTGAACATAATGTATGTTGTTCAATACAAAATCATAAGACCATACTTGATTTAAAGTAAGGCAAACAAAACTATTAACAGTACATTGCTTGCTCACTTTTATTTACAATATAAACAATAATATATTGTCAAAATAACAAATATTATTTTCTAAATTTAAAGAATTTTAGAACTAGTCATGATTCTTCAAACCACCTGAATCTAATACCAGGTGCTTTTCCTTTAAAATACAGACAATTAATTACAATGCACCTATATAATGCAATGAAAATGTAAAAGTCTAACAGGCAATATGTATTACTTAAGCACAAACCTTCATAAGTTCTAGTCTTTCCCTTTCACCGGAATGAAGACTTGTTTGTATAGTTCTCATTTCATCCATGATCACCCTGGCCTCCTGAATATTATACCCTGCCCCCTGACCTGACAACTTCTGGTCAACCCTGAAATATTAGAATTAACATGTCAATATGTCTAACATTAAAATCAAGTAAATTAATGATTCAAAAAAAGAGAAAAGTTGGTGGGTATCTTACATGAATTAAAGAAATATAACATAACGTTTTAATTGCAATTTTTATCTAAAGAAAGCAGCTGTCATTTTTAGGAACTTTTAGGAATGTATGAAATGGATTTTTCTAAACAAGATAAACTTACATGGCAAGGGTATCAAGACCTTTCTGTTTGTACTGCATCTCTGCATGTATTTGAGCAAGCTCATGTCTGAGTCGGTCTACACGCTTACGTGCCAAGTTCACATCTGCCTTCAACAGGTCAGGATCATACTTTGTACTCCCAACACTTGAGTTGGAATTCACTGCAATTATAGATCGTAAATTATTTCTATTTCAAAGCTCATTACCTCAAACAATTTAAACATCTGGTATCATGTTTCATGTAACTAAAAATACTTTGTGCTGACTATTCTGAAGTAGTTTAATCTTAGTGGTATATTTCATCATCATATCTTCCTCTTTATTAATGGAAAATGAAACAAGTTGCTTTCTTACTTTGGTCAACATTAAAACATCTTTTCTGTTAAAGTTTATATCTTTCCAAGAGATAAACAAAAATCCTATAAATATTTAGCTTTATATCACACATGTTTGTTTATTTGATTCATTTTACGCCTTTTCCCAACAGTATTTCAGTCATATAGGCGGGTAGTTTCCTAACCATCGTTCCTGGAGAGTTACACCAGTACTAGACTACCGTCCTTCATGCTAAACTACCAAAACATTTCCCGGGGACCGAACCCACCCCAGAGAGGTAACTGGATTAGAAGTCATCGACCCTAACCCCTAGACCACGGAGGCGGTATACAGAAATAACATGAAAAACTTGAACTCACAACTGGTTCTGGAAGATTTCCATCCTGTCAAAGTGTCATGTAGATGCTGGTACTCATCCTGGGCTAGCTGGAGGCGCTGTTCCTTTACTGTGTATATCTCCTTCTTTGCCTTTTATATGTATTTAAAAACACAATTTTTTTTTTGATTAAGCATTGCACAAACAAACAATAATACAGGGTTTTAATAGTTTATACTAATAATTTTCTTTTTGTTTCTTTTAAAATCACAGTTTTTTTTATCCCTCTCTCTTATCAAAGGCCTGTCATATGTTTGCTTCTTTCACAACTTACTAAACTAAATCAAATTCAATATTTAGAGACTAGCATCTTGAATTCAGTCAAGCAGTGAGTTCTGTTCCACTATTTTCTTCCATTGTATATATACAATATAACCAAAATTTATGTATACCATTTTTAAATAAACTTTAATTTTGTTTTGATGCAACTGTATTGCAAATTCACATTTTTTTTATTTGTTAAAAATTAAAATCATATACTTTCAGGAAGGTACATGATTCTTTGATTTTGTACCATGACCTTCACTTTCAACATGTAAAAATGGTTTACATATAATAACTTTGATCACTAATGAAAGTTTTACATACATCCAGATCATCTTTGGCTGTAACTAGATAATCCTTCAGCATCACCTCCTGCTCTGTCCTCCATTGCTGACGAGGGTCTTCTAACTGATTTGTCTCTGGAAAGTGTAGAAGTACATAAATATGTATGTGAAAAACAGAAAAAATATATTACTTATATTTCAAGCTTTTATTTGATTGTGTTGAAATGAAATATTCTTCAATTTTTACTTCAATGACTTTGCAATGGAGCGTTGTAATTATTAATGTGTAACAAATTTTTCATACAAATTAACAAATCCTGGAGTTTGAAAAATAAGTGTCAATACTGAACAATTGTGCTGTTAGGATATAGCATTGGGTTCCTAATCAAGAAATTCAGGCTCAAATCCCATCACTGGCAAGGCAAGAGACGTTTTTTGACTCAACAAAATACACTGATGTTATTACTGGTGATGACATCTGGGTAACAACAGTTAATTAACACAACTTTTAAGTGTTTGTCTAGGACCCTAAATGAGGTTTACACACATTCAATAAATTTATATTACAGTAACCTCAGATTAACACTAAGATACTAAATAAATTTAAAAGAAACGATTTTAAAATTTGCAAAAAATATCAAACTTACGATTAGTATGATCTACATAGTAAACACCAATCTGTGGGTCATAAACTTCCTCCCAGCCATAGGGTAACTCATCACCAACACAGTCTGAGAATGTTTGTGGTTTTGTATATCTGAAAACAAGAATGATTGTTATACATTCAAACTAAATTCTTTAAGTTTACACTGAATGCAATTTACAAAGCTATCAAAATTCAAATTTGGTATTCAGCATTGTCATCTTCAAATATGATGAGTGAGTGAATAATAAAAACAATATCACAGTGTCACAACAACTTGAAAGGTGAGGCCTAACATTTACGCAGCATGTTCTGTGTAAGTGTTAAGGTTGACAACTGCCTATGCTGACAAAAGTCTGTGACTGCACATTCATAATCTTGTTTTCAACAATACACGGCTAAACTATTTGGTAACTGTCTCAACAGATGACAATCAAAATGAGGGCATAATGATAAAATGAACGTCTGTGCCCCTTAGGCTTACATGTTCTTCTGCTATCTCTGAATCATGTCAAACTCCTTTAGTGTACGTAAAACACGATCATATCTTCATTTTAAACGTTTTAGTATAAAATCTTCATGACTTGTTATTCAAAAAATTTTGACCCAAAGATAATCAAGTAAGAGTTACTTCCCTTGACACGAACGACCATGACAAAATTGTTCACATTCCATCGTATTATCTACCATTATATAACATTTAACCATGTAAATTCAATGCAATGTTGTTTAAAATATAAATATCACACATTGTTTAAAGTAACAATGCATAATCAAGCTGCTAAAGCATTAAAAATCTCAAACATTTCGAGGTCGGCTCTGTTTTCTTGTTGTGACCGACATTTCGCTGGCAAACTTTTCAACTTACCGGTCTCGTGGATCAATCCAGGTGGTTTGTTGCGTTTGGTGATTTATATAAAACACTTTTCCATCAAAATCCCGACCCTCTTCCCAGCCTTCCGGTAGGGGAATTTCCCCATTTTTCCTTCTTGGCATATTTCATGAGAATTTTTTGTTGTGCGACTCCATTTTGATTCATTAATATGCATGACGTCATAGGAGATTCTGAATTGTGGCCAATCAAAATGTCCTAAAATTGCAATGGAATGTGTAGACTGGCAATTGGTACAAATTTAGACTGGCTACAGTTCAGTATATAATTTGCCTCATACAAATGTTATTACGATAGTTTTTAAATTTAAAAAACAACAATTAGACTGTATATCGTTGTTATCATAACATGATATTTCCTTTGATATATATGTAGGCCTATCATGTATACAATAAAACATTTATTTATTGTACATTTAATTGTTAACTTTAACACATACGTATGTAAAGGGTCTTTTTATTTGAAAGACCCTGGTATGTACGTACTGTGTTGTTTCTTTTTTTACCCGAGAAAAATTATTTAGAGACACGGGGGAAATACACATTTTTGAGATGAGCACTTAAAATGACTGATAATTCAGTTAAACGCCTGATTATTCAACAACAATTTGACAATCATTTATAATGCTATTTAATTAATTTTAGTTCTATATTTTGTACGTATTTTAGCATGCTTATAAATCCAAGCTCAGGGCATGGTAATTTTATTAGAAACGGTTATTTTTATCCCTGCAAAAGTTGTGGTCCACATAAACAAGAAGAGTATCAAATTGGACTATCAAGTATCACCATGCAGAGCTGAGTCTGTCTTGCATGCTTTTAAATTTTCAAGTTACCATGTGCTTTATTTTTGTTTGAGAAATATTAAAAACAATTGAATTAATCAGATGTCGTTTTAATAAAAGCATTTACTTTAAAATATTTTACATAAAAATGTTTAAAATCTCAAGAATGAAAAATGGCGACAAGCAATGTCAAACTTTAATACAAACTTACAATAGAACACTCTAAATATCATATTAGTCAAACCAAATATCAAAAGGTTTATATTGAGTTGTTTAAATATGACTTTTGTATTGTGTATTACGTAAAATTTGTACATTTTGAAAGATGATGTACAAGTTTTGAATAAAGTTTCGATCTGTTCTGTTCTGATATACAGCAAGAATTTCTGCCATTGCATTCTGGGGATGCTGATTTAATTAACGATGCAATGAAAACTTGTCATTACAGAAAAGGATATCTCACATAATTTATTACATGACAAATTCCAATCCATGTGGAATTATTAACTGATGATAGTGCAAAACGAGAAATTTCAAATAATATAATGAACATATTAATATATACATATTTAAAAAGCAAACTTTGGACGTATACTGTACATCTTAATTATATTATTGTACATTTTTATAGATGAGAAGCGATTTCTTAATTATATTCTATATTCTATATTTTCCGACATTAAATTGGTGTTAAATCAGGGTCACTGAATCTTCTTAGATGTAAATATATAGTTAAAGTGATACGTTTCTTTGTATTCAATTGACTTTTGAATGCACGATTTCCGTAAATTTTTCTCCTCACTTCATATATTTTGAAATAATTATGTCGGGTCATTTTGTTTAACAAAATTAACGTGTACTTCAACTTCAAGCTATTTTTGTCCTGTTCAGGAACTATTATAGATTTATGAAAATTTATTACGTACGTTTAATCAGGAACATTATTATTATCTTTTTATTACGTATATACGAGTCCCTGATTTTTGCTCTACATTGAATTGTAAAGTATATGGTAAAAAATTCCAGTCCCTCGTGTACTCTATATATTTACAGTATTCTGTTGATATCAATCATACAGAAAAAGTTCAATACTTCGGATTTTTTCATGATCAGATAAATGAGAAAGGGTTTTTTGTGTGACCAAATTACAATGCATATGGACCTTGCGTACAGGCCCATATTTGATGTTACTTACACCTTGAACACGTTCGTCGGTGCAAGAGGGTGTGTGATCGAGGTGTGGACGACAGCTTGAATTACAATTACCACTATATCGTTCATGAACAGGCTCAATCAAACAGAGTCTGCAAAAATTTCAATTTTGCCATTTTGGGAGTTCTATAGGGATTCCGTTTTGTTCTATTAATTAAGAAATTAACTCTTAAACTGCTGGATTTTAAAGTGATTATATATTAGCATTTGTCACTTTAGTATATAGAGCCAGTCCAGCCTACATGGATGTCTGACCAGGCTCTAAACTATAATTAGCTCATTTGTTATTTTTATAGTGAAATCCTTTGAACTTCAAAGCAGGGCAAATTCATTACACAAATCCAGACATAAGCTTGTACAGACCACTATGGAAAGCCTTAACTGTCTTATAATTATTAACCTAAATGTTGTTATGTCAATATAGCAATATATTGAGTCAACCTTTCCTTATACAAAGTGTACTCATTAAAATATTATGTGGATCCATCTTTTTATGTAGTCAACTGAACAATATATGATGTCAACGTGTTTATATGATGTCAATCCATCATTATACGTTGTGCATTTTGAATATTTTATGTGGAGCCATCCTTATATAAGGTCAAAATAACTTTATATGATGTCAATCTGTCCTTATATGATGTCAGTCTGCCATTATATTATGTGAAGTTATGAATATATTATGTGGAATAATTCTTATATAGATTCAGCATTATATGATGTCAACGCGTCCTTATATGATGTCAATCTATCATTATACGATGTGCATTTTTTAGTATATTATGTGAAACCATCCTTATATAGAGTCATAATAACAATATATTATATCGATATGTTCTTATATGGTGTCAGTCTTTCATTATATGATGTTCAATTACGAATATATTATGTGGAACCATTCTTATATAGAGTCAAAACAACATTATATTATGTAGAATCGTCTTTATATAGAGTCAACTTAACATTATATGATGTCAACATGTCCTTATATGATGTCAGTTTTGCATTATACGATGTGCATTTATGAATATATTATGTGGAACCGTCTTTATATAGAATGAACTTTACATTATATGATGTCAACATGTCCTTATATGATGTCAGTCTTTCATTATACGATGTGCATTTATGAATATATTATGTGGAACCGTCTTTATATAGAGTCAACTTAACATTATATGATGTCAACATGTCCTTATATGATGTCAGTCTTTCATTATACGATGTGCATTAATGAATATATTATGTGGAACCGTCTTTATATAGAGTCAACTTAACATTATATGATGTCAACATGTCCTTATATGATGTAAGTCTTTCATTATACGATGTGCATTTATGAATATATTATGTGGAACCGTCTTTATATAGAGTCAACTTAACATTATATAATGTCAACATGTCCTTATATGATGTCAGTCTTTCATTATACGATGTGCATTAATGAATATATTATGTGGAACCATCCTTATATAGAGTCAACTTAACAATATATGATGTGAATGTGTCCTTATATGATGCCAGTTTTTCATTATATGATGTGCAATTACGAATATATTATGTGGAATCATTCTTATATAGAGTCAAAACAACACTACATTATGTAGAATTGTCTTTATATAGAGTCAGCTTACCACTAAATGATATAATTTACTTTGAGTTTTCCCGCTGTTGCCACGAACGGTGCATAGTGAGATATAACCCGGTAAATTTAACCCCATCAGTATAATGACAGAAGCACACCATATAATGATGTTTGCACTTCATATAAAGCAGCGGTCGTATATGCACATCGTTAATGAAAGATTCACATAATATAATGAAAGATTGACATAATATATTGATAAGTTGACTGTATATTATGATGCAACCACATAATATATTCATAAATGCACATCGTATAATAATAAATGCACATCGTATAATAATAGATGCACATCGTATAATGAAAATTTGACATAATATATTGATAAGTTGACTGTATATAATGATTTTACCACATCATAAATTCATAAATGCACATCGTATAATGATTAGTCGACATCATATAAAGACACATTTACATCATATATTGTTCAGTTGACTTCATATAAGGATGCATCTACATTATATATATTCATTAATGCACATTGTATAAAGAAATAAAGAAAAAGTGACACGACAAAGTTCATTTTTATAATCATAAGACAGTAAAGGCTCTCCATAGACCACGATATGTTACTTTTATAATTGATATAACTGACATAAAAACATTTAGTATGGTGCGATGTATACCAACAATACGAGCTGGAGCTTAATTACAGCATATTCGAAATTATCATGTCATATTGTGTATGATAGGGCATTCCCATAGATTCTTTCTGGGAAACGATGATTTTCTGAACTACCATATTATTAAGGTAAATAATATTGATATCAATGTATATAAAACATGTCACTTTCAGAAATGTTGACCTAACTTACTGGTATAATGAGGTATTATAAGTCATCTCTTCAAAGCTTATAGTTGAGGTTGAGAAAAAGGCACATTATAGCCGTGGCCACAGAAACTAGTGTTGAAAGGGTTATATCATTGTAATAATGGATTTATAACATGTGAGATGTTTAATTACTTATCTTAATTTTGCTGAATGCAACATTACGTATTCAAATCTGACACACATGAACTGGTTTTGTCAGAGATATTTAAAAGTCAAGGGAAATAACTATACAAAACTGAATAAATCCACACAAAAATACCCAGGTGCACAACTACACAGGCTGAGCAACATTCCTGTAAAGTTTCATGATTCTAGGTCAAATACTTTTTGAGCTACATGCGATACAAAATGAGAATGGACGGACAAGGGTAAGTCTAAATGCCCAACCCTAAAGAGGGGGGCACAAAAACCAAAGAGCCTTTTTTAAACAAGTAAAGCCATTAGGGCCAGGGACAAATTACCAATTTTTAAGAACCTTTGAAATAGTCAAAATAATACTATGTTCTAGTTGCAGCTTTAAGAAATATGTTACAGCCATGTTTCTTAATAATTTCAAGAAAAGGTTTAGGAAATATTGGTGGAAATAAGTGCATTCTCATTCCTGCAGTTAAAAGTGTTTGACAGGCCAGCCACTCTATCTTAATTCATAATTTAAAGGACCAGTTAAGAACTGAAGTTTTAGTAGAAGTATTTTTTGCAAAAACCAAAAATGAGCCTTTACTTTTTTCTAGAACTTGCTATTGGATCTGTATCTATAGCTTTTTAATAGGGGTTTGATTTGCTATTTATCTGTTTAGTGTAAATAACACTTATCAGTTTTACTTTATTACAATTTTAAAATTAGCATCTATTTAAGTGTACTAACAATTTTTTTTGCATTTGCGGAGGAAAAACTATTGGCAATTCTTAGTCTACATAAATTTTGCATGTTTGTGTTTCATATGTATTTTCAGTAAGGTTTTCTGGCAATAAAATGTTTAGGTCATATAACTACTTTCCATTTTCACTGGCGGAGGAAAAACATGGGAGCCCCTCCATGCATTTTGCAGAACAGGCATCTAACTTCTAAGTAGAAACTACAAATGTTTTGTAGGCAAGCTGGACAGCAAAATCATGACAGTTTCCAAATTATTTAATTTCTGGTAGAATTCCAAATTAGGAAGGGCAAATTGCTTGAGCTTATCAACCATAACCAGTGGAGGTGCGTCTGTTGCCCAGAGCTCCATCTCATCTAATTATCTGCTCTTCAGGAAACGTCAATTACTCATGAAAAAATGTTAAGAAATTAAAGTCACACAAAACTTTTAAGGTTTTTTTTCTTTATTTTACCAAGGACATGAACAATTTATGCAATAAATTCATAAGGAATTGGCTGCAGTATTTCTGGTTTGTTGAACTTGGTTTTAACAAAATGGGCTGTGCGTCTTCCTGCAGGCTGAAATGAGAGAATAAACAAAACATAAATTATTGTGCTAAGTACATAACAGTTAAACATGTAAATACTAGTTTATTATACCAACTTATATGCACTAAAACGACTTTTATGTGCAGTACTGTCATCAAATGATCAAACCTGCAACATACATGTAGGATCAACAAGGTTTCATAAATTCTATTTGCAAGAATTCCCGACTTCTTCTTGAACACTTAAAAACTTTTGGCCCTTTTTTAAAGGTTTTTGCAACAAGTACCATGTTCTACAGAAATTTTTTTAAACCCTTCAATATGACATCATATATATTTGTTTCTAATCTGGATTGTTGCTAAATTAAAATTTGATGCAGCAGAAATTCTTTCATGATAAAACCGTCCATTTTCAATGCTAATACTCTAAATTGAAAACACTGCCACAACTATACTTAATACATGTTTTCTTTAACTTCATGTTTCATGGAAACTTTAATCAAATCTACATGGTATAGCATTCTTCGATATTTGATATTCAATGCAGTTTACAAATAAATATAGGCGAACACTGTATGTCTGTTGACACTTAAATTCAGTGACACACTAGCACAGTGGGTTGAGCAATTTCAATGCATCTACAAAATAGATTTACTCCGTTGTTTATCTGGTGTGAAAAATAGGATCAACCTATCTTTCAACAGACTAAAGTTTCCTTTTTCAAGACAGACAAAAAATTTCTGCTGAAGTTTGAATAGTCTATACCTGTCTCTTTAGATTAACCCATTTGCCACTGGTCTTGGCTTCCTGCTGCTTTGCACGGTTATCTTTTACACGTCGAAGGAAGTCCAGACGGCAGTTAGAGTGTTTCACATGCTCAATTCTCACATTGATTCTCTTTGGGATGATGCGATTTCTAAAATCAAAGAAAAAATATTGTCTTTATTTCTTTTCATAATCATTACTTAAACATGAATACTAAAAGATCAATACATTTTCAAAATACATGCTCTTTAATTTCTTGCATGGCAAAGTGTTATATATTTCTTTTTTCAGTGGAAGACAGAATACATATCAAACACAGGCTTGATCATATATTTCAATTTTCATGTGGTTTGACTTTTATCTCACAAAGATGAAAACAAATACACTTGACCAGACATATCTATAAACCAATCACCTTGAGAAATTATTTATACATTTAGTTTTTTTCAAATACGGTAGCATATTAAATTTAAGTTTATATTATTATATTCATATATATGTTAACATGGATTTAACAAAAATCGCTTCCTTATATCTGTCATACTGATAACATTCCCTATGGTTTGATAGAAGTCCTTTGAAAATTAATATTGAAAAAGGTGCATAAAAATCTGTACAATTATGTCAATAAAACAAATTAAGATATAATTAATTAGAAATTACTGGTACTACATACCCAACTTGTTTGTTGACAATCACACCTACAGCATGTTGGGTGACATTGAACACTCGGCCAGTTTTACCGTGATAAACTTTAAATGGCATACCCTTTTGTATAGCGCCATTGCCCTGTTTTAAAAAAAAAACAACAATAGCATGACTACTATATTTTTTTTCATATCAAACTAGACTTTGTATACTTTGATTACAATGTTGATCTTTATTCCAAAAATTTGCAATTGGTTAGCTCCATTTCTGTAGGAGATGAGCATAACAACTATTTCAAAATTGCTGCATGTAGACACAGTATTTGATTTTATTGCTCCAAATAGTTACCAGACCTGTCTTTTGTATACATCTTGTTTCAATTGCAGCAAAGTTGTCTTTTTTTCACCTAGTTGTATTTTTTATATAAATATCTTTCAAATTCATCAGAAATATAAAATAACATCAAAATAACAAAATTTTACTCCCCGTATAAGTTACTTACACAAAATATTTCTGTATTGGTTAACATTTCTAACAAAATTTGTTTTGACAGCCATTTTAATGTGCCTTGTTTTTTTCTCCAAAATGTAGCAAATACATAATAAGGCACAAGGAGTAAAATTTTGTTACCTGTGTAAAGAAGGCAAAAACTGCTATTACATTACTTTAATTAATTTAAAAAGCTGTTCTTACCTTGACATCAACAATATCGCCACGTTTGTACACTTTCATGTATGTGGAGAGTGGAATTGGTCCATGTTTCCGGAATTTTCGGGAGAACATATACCGTGTTCCACGGCGATAACCCTTTGTGTTGGTCATTTTGCCTTATTTCTGAAAGAGATAAAATATATATAAAAATAAAACAAAAGAATTGTTAGTAACGGTAAAGTACCCCACATTATCTACAAATTTAGAGAAGGAAGTGGCTAGCCATATGGCTAGCCAAAAGTTCTAGCCGCACGGGAGTCACATGTGACTAGCCAGGACATACTGTACTGTCTGGCCGTACAACACTTTTCAAAATTATAAGTTGAAAATGCAAATGTTATTTTGTGTCTTTAAACGAAGATTTTTACCAAGCCCGCATTAAATTTTGTCCTTGTGTGTTACTTTTAATAAAAATGCTCCGCCATTTTGTAAAAAAATGAATTAAGGTAATGCAAGCATTGTAATGTTGATAAAAGTGTCAAAGTTGCATGTTATAAGTTTTAACATTGTTTTTTATGCTTATGATTTGTTGTTTTATTTGTATGAAAGATGAATTATTAGTAATGTTTTTATAATTAAGCACAAGGATCAAATTAATAATCATAACGCAAAAGAAGTTTTTTCATAACGGCATGATTGGGAGTATAAATAAATAAATACAGTAGATAAATACCGAACTTAAAAGCACAATCAATTAGCCTAAAGTATTTAAAGCCTATCCAGTGACTGACAATATAATTTTAGAATGCATTTCACAGAACATGCAAAAATAATAGACAAACTTCTACCGTCATTAATTGACTCAATTATCAGAGCTCAACAACAATTATTTTCAGTGCTTTTTTCATTTTCAAAGGTGTGGAAAATTTAACTTATTCAGTTATTGAAACAAAAAAGGATTTAATCACAATATTGTAATCAATTTCAATTGGTGTTATTGACTGCAAACAAACACTCTTTTTTCTTGTCATCTGGAGATGACAAAGATAGATAATCGTACTTTCTTTACTGTAGCCATTGCAATTAATCTCTAAAAAGTAAACATAAGAAGACAACTGCTGTTCTTGTTTAAAGACACAAAATAACACATGCATTTTCGAATTCCATATTTTTTGAAAAGTGCTGTATGGCTAACCAATACAGTGTGCCCGGACTAGGTGTACGTGACTCACTTAGGGCTAGAACTTTTGGCTAGCCACTTCCTTTAGAAAAAAACGATAGATCTATAAATTTACATTAGAAGTGGCTAGCCGTACAGGCCTATACGGCTAGCCGAAAGTTCTAGCGGTACGTGAGTCACGTACAACTAGCTAGGACACACTGTATTGTACGGCACTTTTCAAAGTAATATGGAAATCGAAAATGCATATGTTATTTTTGACTTTAAACGAGGGTTTTAACCAAAAAACAGCAATTATCTTCGTATGTTTACTTTTTAGAGATTAATGGCCTTGTTGGCTACAGTAAAGAAAGTACGACTATCTATCTTTGTCATCTCAAGACGTCGAGAAAAAATAGCGTTTGGTTGCAGTTAAATAACATCAATTGAAATAGTTTACAAAATTTTGATAATAAGGCCAATTTTTTTTTATATTTTGGTTTACTGATTTTTTCCAAAAAAAGGTAGGGTCGGCGGCGGGAAAAAAAAAAAAAAAAAAAAAAAGGTTTTCATAACTATAAATGTGGTGCATACATATACATAGTACTTACTAGAGCATCGAAATTAAATACATCGCCGATTGTCTATTCCAAACACCAAAAAAAAACGTTTGCTCACATTGCCATTGTTTAAAAACACACATGAAATCTACACACGATGACTTATGACAAGTGGCAAGCCAGCCCTTCAAAAGAATCTGTCATTCTTTGATGTTTACACACTGCTGTGTAATCTGAATCATCAAAGGTGCCGAAACTCAGCTGACTTGCACTCATTTCTTTATAGATCAGAAGTTAAAAAAAAACTGTCAAGAAAAGATTACACATGTTCAATTATTGCCCAGTGTGAAAATATTTTTATCGGATAATTAGCGGGTCAATTTTTGACATAAAAATCTATTAATAGTAAGTGCATTTTTTTATTTTGTTTGTTTGAAAACCTGTATTCAATCTGCTTTTTTTGTTAAATCTGAAAATACTGATCTTGTCAATTGCAGCAGATTTCTCTCGCTCTGTCCTTGAATGTATTTGCTTACGTAATTTGGCGTGTTTTTTTGTTTGTTTGTTTTTGTAGTTGTTTATTTTTACGCATTTGGACCTTAAATGCATTGATGAAATATGATCAAAGCCTGTGAGAATGGCTTGACCCATTTAACAGACATTCTTTCATAATACACCAATAAACACTTTCCCCAACTAGCAGACGACAGGCTATTCTTGAGTAAAGATAACCGGTTGCGTATCTCACTGTATAAATCGTATGTAAAATAGTCTGGCATATGGTAGGTTTAACAGTGAATTTAAATACTTGCCGTGACGTTTCTTTGACAAGGCGTATTTCAAGACAACACAGAATTTTTTTGGGGGGCAGATTTTTTTTTTTTTTTTTTTTTTTTTTTTCCCAAAATACGGAGTCGGCAGGTCAGTAAACCGAAATATCAAAAAATAATGGCCTAATCCTTTTTTGTTTCACTAACTTTAATTTTTAAATTGAAAAAAAAACACCGAAAATAATTGTTGGGCTCTGATAATTGCGTCAATTACCAACGGAAATTTTGTCAATCATTAAGGAAAGTTTGCATGTTTCTGTGAAACGCATTCTAAAATTCTATCGTCAGTCCCTGGGTAGGTTTTAATTAAGTGTGCTTATAAATATGTTCGATATTTATCTACTGTATTTGAAAATTATTAAATCATTTTTGCTTTTCAAAGTTTTTTTTTTATATTCTTTTTATTTATTTATTTATTCCCGTCTAATCATTATTTATTCAATCTGTGTGCTTAACCAAAATGATTTAACAATTCATCTTTCATACAAATAAAACAACAAATCATAAGCATGAAAATCAAAGACATTATTAACTTACAACATGCAACTTTTGACACTTTTATCAAGACAGATTATACAGCGGAGACTAGTCCTAATTATAAGACCTATACGTAACCTATTTTATATTTATCATTCATTAATGTGCAGTGTTTTTTTTCACCAAAATATTCGGCGAAATTCTCCGCATTCCCCACTCAAAATAGTATGTTTTTTTCCCCCCTCAAAGCTGAAATTTCCCCCTATAATATGGCAGCCCAAGTTTGCCTGCAATGAATATCATTTTTTTGCAACTAACTGCCGAAAAATGCTTTATTTTACGCCTGTAAGACTTACTGTTAAGCAAGGTTTTTCATATAGGTAAGGGGAGCTACTCCTGGTAACCCAACAAGTTTATCATGTGACACATCAATATTTTAGATTCGTATAAAAATCCCCCTCCTATTGCATTTTTCCCCCTCCGATGGGCACCGACCCCCTTCCCCCAAAAGTGAAAAAAAACACTGATGTGATATTTTACATTTTTCATTTTCCATGTTACGTTAGGTCTTAACAGATCTTTGCAAAATCGTGTAGCAAAAAAATTGACATTAGACATCGATTTAGATCTAATGCATTTTAACATTTAAAACAGCGTGTATTTACATAAATTTTGAACTATTTATGAACAAAACTAAAAATTAAATACCTTTCAACAAAATAATTGAACTGTCACACCCGAAAAGTCATGATAAAATCCTCTCATTTAATTAAATTCCATGTACAGCAGATATACAAATGGCCGCCATACAGTGCGCGAAATCTGATTGGCTAATTAAAATGCAAGCGTTTAAATGACTCCAGAAGTTTCTAACGGAATATTTTTTCAACGAAATAATTGCCCATGCACCGTCAGTGTGTTCGAAAATATTTTTCCGTTCAAAAAATTGGAATCAATCTGTAAAACGCTTTACTTAACCAGTATGGCCGATGAGCGAAATAGATTGATATTTATATTTTATTTTTAATTAATAAGTACATTGTTTGAAACTTTTTGTTACTGATAGACCATGCAATTGAAAGAACAGAAGATAAGCTTTTGAATAAAACTTGAAAGGCAAGTCAACAGACATTTTTTTAATTTTTCAAAATGCTACGCGTTTTTGACCAATAACTATTAGACGTCAGGCTTGACCAACATAAAACTATAACAAGCCTGTAACGTCTAATCTATTGGACTAAGCGGAGACTTGATTAAAATCCTTTTTAAAGACACAGAATAACATATGCATTTTCGACTGTCATATAATTTTTGAAAAGTGCTGTACGCCTAGCTAATACAGTGTGTCCTGGCTAGTCGTACGTGAATCACGTACGGCTAGAACTTTTGGCTTATTTATGCCAATTAGTGAACCATGCACTATCAGTCTATCACTATGGTATAATAATGCTAAACCAAAATGTTATGAGTCACAAGTTAAACCATGCCCATCATAATCCTCGAGCCTATAACGATGAAACATGGCATATGAAATCATCGCCGCTTTCGCGAATTTTAGCAACATGTTAGACAAGGGAGACAATTTCATGTGGTATCCAAGAATACATGGTTGTTTCAATTCATTACAGCTGAATCATTCAACGTAATCAAATTATTTGAAATGTGATAGTTTCATCACGATAAATAAAATTGATGTTTTGAAAATAAAATATGTAACATGACTTTATTTTAAAGAAATAACACGTTATTCACATCGCACACCTTGCCTTGGCCGACCGGAAAAAGAAAGAGAATTTGACATGCGCAATGAAAAGCTAAATTGACTGGTTTCTGCTTGAACTGAACTTAAAGCTCGAAAAGACACTTGCTAATAGTGCTGCGTGGAAGAACCTATTTCATTAAAATTCCCGGAGAACTGAAATTTAATTGAGATTTTTTTTTGCACGAGACTCGTAAAGAAACTGCTAAGTACTGTAGATTGTTTTATACGTGGGAAATAATGTATCTCGTGAACAACTGTGTGTGTGTGTTTTTTTTATTTTTACAAAATGTACATCAAATCAGGACTATTTTCTCCTTGTTACTTGAAAGTACTTAATATCGTGCAACGTCTCAATACCAAAAGTAAATAAAGACAAAGTGAACAGGAGAAAGAATGTTCGCCGAAATTTGGAAGAAAGGAAATGTTAAAAACTAATATAATGCTTTCTCTCAATTTTCTTTCATAAAACGTACAACACGATTGGACATACAAAAACAGTCACGAAATTGCACGAGATACAGACATAGTTGAAGTGTTTCGGCCGTTTCCGTAGATATTCGTCAATAAGCGTACGTTACGGAACCATCCGGTACAATACAATAGCAGACGATAACAGAGATAACGGAGACAATTGACAATAATCGACGCATTCGCTGACATTAAGTATACTTTTCCCGCGACTAAATGACGAGCAGTGCACGGCAAAATGAACAATTAATATATCACGTGACAGTATTATATTTCATCGGATAATCCATAATGGTATGTGCTTATAAATCTTAATTTATTTTACAGCTTCTATCAATAGATGAAAATTGATCCTCTTAATCAAATTTTTATAGTTTTATACAGGTTGCTTGTTTGCACGTTAAAGGATAGCCTGTCGGAAAATAGCTTTTACAGCTACAGTAGTGTTATTATGTTTTATTTAACCAACTCTAAAATTCAATAAAGATTATCTAATCTTTTTTTTTTTATCTTATATATAGGACACACCATCAAAATCTCTGTTTCAACTGCATGTGTTCATGTTAAAATAAGTATATGTACATAATATATATGCGTGACTTTCAGCATGAAACAGTAAACTATCAAGTTACTACATGGCAATTAAAGGACACGGGAATTGTGATCGTGATTTAAGTACCATCACAAATTATTAGTCAAATTAAATTGACGTGCCGGAGCTAGATTCTGAGATATGTTCGTTCTGGGTCAGAATCTCACGTGTAGAGGAGAGATATTGGCCATAGACAAAATAGCACAATATTTCATTGTGTAGTTCAATTAATCTATATTAAAATTAAAAATAAATTATTTTAAACACTCAGTGAAACTTGAAACATTGCAATTTCAAATTATAGTAATATCACAGAAAAAATATGCACACATTGATGGTCGTATTATGTATTTGCTGTTTGAAATGTATCAGGAAAATAAAAACAATAATATATTTCTATTTTATTAGGTCTACATTTATAACATATCAAATACATGTATATCATTATGTTAAAACAATGAATTTGTTTAATCACCATTGATTACAGTACATCTCACAGTTCTCAGCTTCACGTGTATGAAATACTAAAAAATGGGGGGGGGGGGGGGGGGTGAAGTGGCTTGATGTATCAGAATTCATAAAAAGAAAGCAGATGAAATGTCTGCAAAGTGTAAGATGTAATCTTTATGGTCCTCTTTCCGCTTTTAAATCCGTACTTGTTTTTATCTCTTTCCGATCCTCAAATATTTTCAAACCAGTCTGTAATGGCCGACAGTGGATGAATAATTTTGCAAACAGTTGGAAATTTTGCTACAAAATGGTAAATTCTTGAGTATAACATAATGTCATCTCTACCAAACTTTAATATTAATGACATTTTGGTAGGAAAACTCATAGAAGCTTTTCATAATAAATGATTTAATTAATATGCAATGGTTTCTTATGGGCGAAAGTTCACTATGAAAATTATGTTTCAAAATAAATAGAAATTTTGAATTATTTCACATTCCATAAATTGTCGTTAAAGTTTGAGAATATTGTCCTCTCTCAGTAAATAAACTGATGCTTAATCCCATATGGAATATCAAATGTTAGTAGTTTTTCAAACTTAACTAATTGGTTTACTGGGAAGACTAGTTCTGGCTTCCAAAACTTTATAAGCCGCTTTTTAACATTTTTGTTTTTCATCAGATGCGGCATTAAAGTTTTGGATTAGACCCGTTACGAAACCTAACCAGAATAACCTAAGTTGATTTATTCTTGTTTTTCACTTGCAAATACACTCGACCCGATCAATTCTTGTGCATTTTACGGTAAAACAATTATTTAAATATCGTTCTATACCAATTCAAGTAATAAAATATTAATACCGTCATTAAAATTGCCTATTTAACTGTAAAACATCAATTTTCACCGACTACAGTCGGCCATGACATTCAAATGTCACGCGAGACCTCGTATGACGTCATTCGCGGGAACAGATTTGAATAGAGTTGTGTACTATATTTAGAACATTTTGTTGACATGATTTCGATATTTTTATTCAAGATAATGTTTTTTTTTATTTTCATAAATTTTTTAGTATTTAAATATGATTTTATTGAATATAACAGTCAGTAAATAACCTTTTTCAACATCTAAAAAAAAGTAATCTATAAAAATATTGGAGGCACATGGGTTCATAAAGGTCAATCTCGTAATCACGTGGTCAAACATTTTGGCAATATGGCGGCCAAGTGCCGAAATTTTTACCTGTCGGAAACTATTAGGTAGTTTATGTTCCTAATAAGATTTTTATTTGTCCATCCTTGGCTTATCAACAGATTATATATCGTTTTATCAAGGTATGCTTCACTTTACTTCGTGGCATGTTCGATAAATAAATACGAGCGTGTCAGATTCCTGGCACGATTATTGGTGGACTTTCCCTACGGGGTTATCTTCAGCGTTCACGTCATGTCATATATATAAACGGGTACGCTGAAGACCTTAAGCTATGGGAAGACAAGTAAAATTGAGGTGTGGTTATTTGACTTAGTAGATACAAGATTAGCTTTTAAAAAAGCTAGTAGCGACTCGCTTCGTAAATTTTTTCCAGGGGTGTGTTTAAATGTTAAAATGACAGTTCTGTTAGCTGAAGAGACTTAAGCGAACATCAAAATAAAAGTGACATATAAAGTTATGGAAGCCAGTTCTCTCAGTTTAACAAATAGGAATATGAGTATATATGAAGATGCATGTAAACAGATAGAATGAAATCCCTATGTCTATGCACATTTACTATATATGGCCTGTTGACCTTGACCAAACAAGAAAACCTTTTATATAAACAGGGGTGTGGAAATATGAAATTTTGCCACTTGCCCACGGACAAGTTTTCCAGAAATTTTTACTTGTCCGCAGCTTAATGTACTTGCCCATATAAAACTACAAAACATTGGCCATGTGTTAAAACAAAAGTTAATTGGAGGTAACAGTGTCCTTTCATATAGTAAGGTGTGAACGGATTTGCTGAGTATAGACCAGACATCATTTCTGTAGTTTGAGGAAACAATCTACAACTTTTATAAATGATGTCCAAACAATTATCCTTTTGAAAATTTTTTAACCAAAACAACTTTACAATTTTTACCAAATGTGCATTTTTAAATTTACTTTACATAGTGGTTGCCTCCATATGGCCTGCATGTATCAAGGAGCCTGCTTTCCTACAAGAGTTCTTCCATGGGTTGGAATGATTGATATAAAAAAGTGTATTTCCTCATAGTTAACCAAGAATCATTACTTTACTTACTACAATAAATGTTCCCCATTGATAAGCGACAAAAATACAGTATTTTGTTTTTCCTACTGGCTCAGATTTTCACTTGTCCAAGGACAAGTTCTATGGAAAAATCTACTTGTCCGCAGGCATAAAGTCCCGAGTCGGACAAGTCGGGCATGGGAATTCCACACCCCTGATAAATCTCTGTATATTGATTTCCCTACCTAGATAATATGAAATTAGGTGCTACCTATGGCGCTGAGAGCTCTTATGATTTATGATTAAGCATAACATGTTTATTGTACATGTTAACCAGATCTATCATGCAATTTGTTAATAAGTAAATGCAGGTATTTCCACCGTAGGCAGAAACAAATAAATTGGTGGTGTTCAACCTATCATCGGAAGAGGGACCACTGCGCATGCGTCGGCGTTTGGTAAATCCTGTCCGCCATTTTATGTTAATCTCTAATCACATATGTTGTTTTTACGTTATTTTTAATATGCTAATTTATCAAAAAGGATTTAAAAGTAACTTTTTACATTTATCATCGTTACTCTAGTTCTTATGAATGAAATGAATGTTTCTTTTCTGATTTTGTACATCATTCTTTCACCGGAAGTGTTATTTAGCATGCGTCTGCTAGCAATAGTCTGAATTATATAGACGCTCATTAAAAGCGCTGTGATATCTATATTTCAAAAGGATTTCAAAATGGCGGCGCCCAGTTAACTAAGGATTTTTTCACAGCTCATTAGGTATAGGATATATAATTTTTTTGAAATTTTCATTTACTTTTAATTTGATTTCATTTGACTTGATACGCGTCATACATGTAATCAAAGAGCGCTACAGCCCTCGCGGGGCCTTTGGTCGGACTTTCCGCGTATAAATTTTTATAGTAATTTCCACTTGTAAAACAGAATCAGACTTGTAATGTCCAAATAATTTTACTCCTATCAATATATGAGTATATTGTACCTTTAAAAATATTAAAACAAACGTTACAATAGGACAGATTATCATTTTCCCTATGAAATCATTACGATACGTGTACAATATTTTAAACAGAATATCTTTGATCTAACATATCACATTCAGAAAAGCCGGGCTGGTATTAGGTATATAGCGATCCCGGGAATTAACCACTGCAGTGTCTATTCTAGGAATTCAAAAATAGGGGTGATTTTCCCCCCTCTATTTCATAAAAGGGGGCGATTTTCAAAATCAAGGGGTGCCAATATAAACTGCCAATGTTAAATCGTCTGCATTAAGTTTACACTGAGGCGTTCAACCGATGAAATATTTAAAACGAAAATATTCATTTAAGGCAGCAGAAGTTGTCCTCCCTTAATTTATGAACGAAAACAAATTATTATAGAACTGTCGCGATTGATTATCAAGGGATTGACAATACAAACAATCGACCTATCTTTTACATCTAGATCGTAGCCAAGCTAGGATTTCTTGATTATTTACTACACTAAAATATGGCGCCCAACTGTCAGACCTAGCACACTAGTTCCGGTTGGTACGAAACATTCCATTAATTTCCGTCAATTCACGTAACCAGTACCATACGGTACTAAATTATTATAATTAGCTTACAGTTACCTCCCTTCAGTTTCCGGTGTAAATGTAAACAAAAGCGAGATGGAATTATGCTTGCGAGGGATCACTTTGTTTCCAGAATTTTTTTACGATTTTTTAAACTTTTTTATAGATGCGCGATTTCACGCACATGATTTTGAATTGTGCGCAATCTTTGAAATATTAGCGTGAATCGCGCAATCACGCGTCCTAGAATAGACACTGCCACTGCCATGTCATATTCAGAAAAGCCGGGATCGTATTAACCCATTACGCGATATACACGCCTTTTAACGCCTTCTTCACCCCTTTTTTTTGTTGTCGCAGATGGTGAAAAAATGCCTTATTTAGGCCCCCAACACTTGTTTTTGGTTAAAAATTTTGTTTCAAAAAGTGGCTACTTTTTCGGCTCGCCCCCCCCCCCCCCCCCAACCAAAAGATATATCAGGGGGTTGCCAGAAGGGGGATGTGCCCCCTTCTGTTTGGGGGGTTTGTAGGGGGCCGCAGTCCCCCTCATCGCCAAGAAAATTTTGGACTTGTGACAGGCTAAAAATGACCCCAGATCGATCATAAGGTAACGTGTAACCAACGCTGAAAAGCATTTGACTCTATCTCAATCCATTAAGAAGTTGCAGCACTTTGAAATCAATTTTGATGGAAAAAATCTTTTTTGTTATCAATTATGTTAAGTATATCTTATGATCTTTTCTAAAAATAATATTTAAATACGTGAACATCATAGGCACTTGGTTTCGGGATAAAATAACCAACCTTTAAGAGGTTTGTAGAACTCAAATCTAATTGAATGTTACAATTTTTTAACGTAGATGTCTCTTTTCTAAAACCGTCATTTTGCCGATATTACTAAAAAAAACATTTTTAGTAATATCGGAAAAATGACGAATTTAGAATCGAGACATCTACGTTAAAAAATCGTTACATTAAATCAAATTTGAGTGCTACAAACCCTTAAAAGGCTTTTTATCCCGAAACCAAGTGCCTATGATGAACATAAAATTTAGCCAAATATTATATTAACAAAAACTTTGATTTTTTTTCAATTAGGCATATAATTACAAGTATTGCGATTTCCGCATTTTAAGTTTGTTAATAAATAGCTCTAAATATATTTAAATCTTAAGTTAAATTAATATACCATTCATTACATACAATAAAAAATAAAAAGTTATCGTTTAATCGCCTTTCATTACGACAGTAATCAACACAAATATAGTTTATTCCTTTTCCCTATTTATCTAATAATATCCCGGATCCTGGGCGTCCGGGATCTCGGATCCCGGGATTTTCCCCCACCCTTAATACCGGAAAGGATAAAATGACCGGAAAAAAAGAAAAAGAAAAAAATGCACAGAACCAGATGTACACTTATGTTAATTTACCAAACAAAAACTTACTACAGAGAAAATAGGTGAAATCGCTAAATCAAAAGTCAATGTAAATATGATTTATTGAAAAGAATTCATGAAAACAAACATTTTAATCATCATTATATCTTTGCGCTCAAAGCAATACTTGCTGCTTTTTAAAAATGGCGTGAAAATTGAAGGTGTTTTGACGCTATGTAAGATTAAATTTGATTGGCTAAATAATTTTGTATTCCAGCCGTGACAGATAAATTTTGTAGAAAGCTGGAAGCCCATTTCGATTAAATTTTTGGATGGATTCGGAGTTTTAGGTTGTTTCTCAGTAAATCATTTCTAACTTTTGTATAATTTACATGGTATGAGTCTAACTGATCTTTAGTTAAGGGAAAAGTAGAGACTATCTGTACGAATAAATCACAAACAGCTTTCTAATGTTAATGTTAATCATCTGGCTTGGCAAATCCTATTTATATTATTTATATGATGGCAGTGACAAGCCATGTGGGCCCATATTGTCATCTACATATTGTTAGCCATACAGTACAGGAGTCACTTAGGACTAGCCTATTATTACTGTTGAGGCTAGCCGTACGTTTTTTTTTAAATTATTAAAACAAAAGTGAATATGCAAACTTGTGTTTCTTAACCAAGATTTTATTGAATACCCTGAAAACTTTTAATATTAATTACAGTAGATATATTAATTTTTGGCATTTAATGATCAAAAGTTTTTATTCCTCTGAAAATCACAGATTTTGATAATTAAAGTTTGTGTGAAAATACGAGAAGAAATACACTGACACATTATTAAATCATTTCTATGGACAATATAGATGTAATACATTTGTAATAAAATTTTATCTTGATCACTTTTAGCAGGCATTGAAAATTAATGTGTATGATACAGCACAGCTGTTTTTCACGATTGCAGAAGCTCGCTCTGGGGTCAATCACAGACATTAATAGACTTGACATTTAATTATGTTGGTAAATTTCCAACGGCAGTTAGATTATAACAAAATATTTTTAATAATTAATAAAAAATTTTATTTGTAAATAATACAAAATTTACATCGGCTTACGAAAACTATATGAAAGGTGAATTTATTTCTGATAGATATATCTGATATCTTGTCATATATAAATGGTCGAATATCAGAATATCATGCAAATAATTATTTAGAAAATATATATACATATATCATTATTTTTTGTAAAAACTTAATTTAAGATGTGCAAGTTTCTGACTTCATCATTGCATTTATTTGTTATTATAAAAATGCTGTATGGCTATCCTCAACAGTGCATGATGATATAGGTTAGACCAGTGTTTTTTTTCTTTATATAACTACTACCTGAAAAAGGTACTATTCCCAATGAAAAAGGACATGAAACAGGCCTTGACATTAACTTTTTTATTTGGTTGTCCTGTCAGGCAAGTACTTTTGAAAACTACTTGCCCTGACCCAAAGTTGCTTGCCGAGACCTAAACCCGTAAAGTGTTGAAAACGACCATACATTAGTAAGTTTCAAGAAAAAGGGTTGGCAATCTTTGAAATGGGGGTTTATTAATTCTTTAATCATGCATGGGTATAACATTATAAGCTGTCCAGGCTGTTTTAAGAAATTAAGACATTTTGTGACAAAACCATACTCATTGTTTCACTAAAATTGGTTGGAAATAGAGGTAAAGTTAAAAGGCTAATTTAGATTTTTAAATATATAATTAGGCATTTTGAAAAAAAAAAAGTAAAATAAAAATTGTTATCCTGACACAAAAAAAATTTCCCAATTAAATTTTGTGAAACTGATGTATAAAAATTACATTAACATAGTACTTTCATCATAAAAGCATTTTAATAAGTTGTGGACAGTCTGTGAAGAGCGAACAGAAACTGTGCTCCCTTAACCATGTCTAAGTCGTGAAAATATATCATTTACCTATTTTGGATTCTTTTTACTTTCTAATTTTAGATCTTTTTTCCTTGTGAATACGACTCTGTAACATATCTACAGATGAATTGTTATTATTTTCACATTTATCTACAGGAGAAACTTTTTCTTTGAGGAAATACGATAATTTAACAGCAAAATAAACAGCCAGAAATCGCCAAATGCTTGGAAGAAAAAAACATATACTTTTTTTCACTTGCCCTGTCGGATAAGTTCTTTTAAAATTCACTTGCCTGGACCAAACTTTTGGTTGTCCCGGGCAGTCGGACAACCATTCATGTAGAGCCCTGATGAAAATTACTAATTTCTAATGTAAAAATTCCCAAAATGACTGTTCAAAATACCCACAAGGCAATGAGATTTCTCTTAAATTATTTAAAATCAAAACATGTTAATATAAATCACCACTCAATAGTTATACCTGGAAAGTGGAAGCTGTTAGCTGTCTTTATTCATTATGACTAATCTTATTTGTTGCTGAAAGATGCTTAATAAAAATTCCCAATTTGAGTCAAAATAACACATTTTTCCCAATCAGTCTGGTACCGGCACCATTCCCAAAGTAGAGGAAAAAACACTGTAGACATACATGAGTCACATACAGCTAGAACAATTGGGTAGCAGTATGGGCCGTACGTCCAGCCACTTCCTTATATGAATGACATACTCCCCCCCCTCCATACCTGCTTCCCCCATGATAGTTTTTCACCATAACCCCCCCCCTCCCAATTTGAAATATGCAGATAGTTATCCCCCTTAAAAAATTTTATGAAGGAATTTTATTGAACATATCATTATGTTCTTACAATATGAGAAATGTTGGAAATAGTGTAGGCAAAATATTCTTGTAAATAACACGCAAGCAAACAATTATCAAATTGTGAAACAAGATATTATCATTATAGATTTCTTAATGAAGATTGATATTTCAATGAATTTGATGTCAGAGGGGGAGGGGGACTGGTAAGGAAGAGAATAGTCTCACTGCTATGATTTTGCATTGAGATATTTACCTTTTGGAGGCAATCAGCATCATATGAATTTTTTTTGAAAAGATAAAAACATGTTTCATATGATTTTTTTTCCATCTTATTTGGTTTAATCAGGGTATTTATATATTTATTAGTTTATGGACAAAAGTAAAAATGAATCACCTTTTGATAAATAATACACTCTTACATATGTGGAAACCCTGTTTAAAATCCTTTAAGGTGGCAGTGGTAAGTCTAAGAAGGGTTATAATGTAAATAGTACAGTGTGTTACATAAAATTATTTTTAATAAAAATCATCATTTTGATGTAAAATCATCAAATGGCATCAACTATATCTCTAAACAAAGTGACTGTATCTTTCAGCAATTTTGGTTATTTTCTGACTGTATTTTCTAGAACCCTGAATGTGTTATTTAAACTTAACAAGTGTTTATATTGCATAAGGAAAAATGTGTCAGTCTCAAAAATTGTGAAAATAGGATTGCATTGCAATACCTTGAAGTTGAAATATCAAATACTTGTTGCTGCCAAGAAATTCTAATTGTTTAAGTTTTGTGACTTAATCTTATTAATGTCCAAACCATAAATTGGAAAAGAAGAAAGCAACAAAAAAAAAAACCCATAAAATTGACAATGGATAGCATCATGATTTCAAGTGAAGAAATGCAGCCTTTTCAACATAGGTTTCGAACAAAACAAAAAAAGAACAAAAAAAAGATATTAAATATTGTGTATTTATTTGTAGATCTGTTAAGTATTATTTTAATATATCTAATATAAATATTATATGAGCCACGTCACGACAAAACCAACATAGTCAGGGCCAAAAAACCCTTCTTTGTAGAGGCCGAATATAGGCTGCTTCCCCAACCAAACTAGCCTCTTTTTTCGCCAGTTTGGTCCTCAAAATTCCCCAGTCTTTTGAAATTTCCCATAGAATTTGAACAAAATTAATGATGGTGTTGAATTAAGGCCTTTTACTGCCGTATTAGTATTTCACAGTGCTTTTTGCTTTTCTATTTTGAAGAATTTGTTAAAAGATTGTGTTAAATTTGAGACTCCTTTTCCCAAAGAATGCCAAAATCACGCATATTTTCCCCAAGAAAAAGGCTGAGGCCCCTTCCCCAAAAATGGTGTTTTGGCCCTGATAGTGCGTTTGTGACCAGCATGGATCCAGACCAGCCTGCGCATCCCCGCAGTCTGATCAGGATCCATGCTGTTCGCTTTCAGTTTCTCTACTTGTAATAGAGTTGGTAAGCGAACAGCATGGATCCTGATCAGACTGCGCAGAGGCGCAGGCTGGTCTGGATCCATGCTGGTCGCAAACGCACTATATTGGTGTCGTGACGCGGCTCATATATAATCATATACATGTTTATTTCAGGGTAATAATCCCACCCAATTGGAGAAGGAGATTGGGTCAGTACAGCTGCCGGCCAATGAACATTATTTTGGTCTAGTGAATGTAAGTTTCTTGTATTCCTCTGTAATATCCTTTAACTGCTGGTAGTTTATACTGAATACTGTAATTATATAATGATCATAGTGATCAGTCTGTGATTTTCTCACTGAATTGTGACTTTGTTTCTTGATTTTTGAAAAAATCATCAAAATTTTCAAATTACTAAGGCAGTAAAAATGGTGGTGTTAGTAAAACTGCATGGTTTTAAAGAAAATTTCAATTGGGAAGAGGCCTTTTATATGCCTCAGTTATATGAGGTGAAAAATCACTGTGAGTGACGCATCAGTATTGTCTGATCATGATTTGCATTGTTTGCTATTCGGTCAATATTTATTTTGAAATTTTCCCTTATACTGATGTGCGATTTTGTCCAGATTTAAAGATGGATAAGTTGCCGGTATAAATTACCCACATAGGAAAAAAAGGACAAGTAATAGAAAGAGCATCGAAACACGAGGTTATCTGATTTGTACGAGGGAGGGCGTAGCCCCTGTGTATTAACCAGATTGCCGAGTGTTTTGATGTTCTTTCGCTTTTGTATCATAGTCAAACAAAAAAACACGTTCCCTACTGTCACAATATGAAACCCCAGAAAAAATGTAACCAATGAACGAACATCTGAATATGATATTTCTGTCCCTTTCCCTTTCTCTGCCATCACAATAAGTAAACCCCAGCAAAAATGAGCCAATCAATTGGCATGCTCTGAAGCCTGGGTAACTAATACCTGCACTCCAGTTAACGCACTGTGCATGTATATGTATACGATTTAACTCTGACACTTTTTCAACAGAAAGGTCTCCCAACTATGATACAAATGGTGATTACTGATTTTAAAGTCAGCTGTCTTTAAAGTATTAAATGTATTAGAACATATGCAATAAATGCCAATCTAGCCATTACTTTTGTGGATTACAGTGTAGTTTGTTCTAACAAGATAATTTTCCACCCAAACTGTTGATGTTACTTATTGTACTTTCAGTAAGAAAATACATATCATTACACACTTGAATATTTCACTGAAATTGCCATGAGAACACATGTTAAATAATGCCCTTTAGCCAACTTCATGTATATATTTTATGAAGTGCTAATTTCTCTTTTTCTGAAAGTTGCAAAAACAGTGTTTAATTGGTAAATTTGAGTTTTTCTAAAAATGTATGTATAGTCCAAATCTGACAAATTATCAAGAAATTATGTCATAAGTCATTTAAAGTACCGTACTGATGCCAACTTCACAATCGTTTTTCACATTCTAGGCAGTCTGTTTTTTATGTCTTACTCTATAATAATCTGACTGCATTGTTTTAAGTAGACATTCTAACTTACGTTATTGAGGTATCTTAAAACATAGTGATATATATATATATATATATATATATATAGAGCCAGCCCATCTGTACTTACTTCATTACTTAATTCCCATTGAAAAAAATTATTACAAACAGCTAGGCTGAGCTAGCCACCCCTGAAAAAACCAACAAACTGTTTCAATTTCAGAGAAAAAATAAACTGGTTTTTTTTTTATTCTATTAAAGAAAAAAACTGCCAGGTGATCATACACATAAAAAAAGCTTAAAAGGTTGTGTATAAGATTCTAGTATTTAATCATTTTTCTAAAATAAGGCCCTGATGTCATGTATATTAAGCATCAAATATCCAGATATTTTTGTTCTACATACATACTCGTATAGTACTACTGGGGTTGTCTTGAAGACCAGTGATATCTGTAATGTAAGATTCAGAGTTATAATTCTTACTATTTTCATTTAATATTATAAATATTTTATCTACACACTTGTATGTGTTTTACTGCAGAATATCAAAATTTAATAATATCTAAAAACTTTAGGGACAATTGTTTTAGTTCATTTAAGAAATAAATGTTAGGGTAGACTGAAACTCAGTATATAGACTAGCACATAGAAATCTGTCAAAAGTCATAATTTTGTAAGTTCTGGGTGGGGGTTAATAATACAGACTATCTTTAAAGCAGCATGCCTTCCAATTCATGCAAATTTTCATAAAGGGTAAAAAAATGTATTAAAAAATAAAAATATTGACAAGTGAACGAAGAAAGTAATTGACACATTGCAAACAGTATTTTAAATTCATGCTTGTTACAAAAAAAATGTCAAAATATGAAAATAAAGCCTTTACTGGGTGAGTCAGAAATAAGGTGATAACTACTGCAAAATTAGTCATTCATGGAACATAACATATAAATTATTACTTGAATTGTATATATTTTTGACTTACTTAAAATCATAACACATTTTTCATAAGTTTGATTTTCTTGAGATTTTTTGCTCATCTGGAGGTATGCAGCTTTACACTCCAGCATTCAAGGTTTTCATTTATAATCTTAAGTTGTAAACCATGTTGCATTAAAATCCTAGTGTATCACAGATCACTCTATCAATAGAATTATATGTATTTTAAATGGTAAATTACGGAATACTCTACATGTTGGCCTTATGATTCAACTGAATTATTGCATAATATTTTATAACCCTGATGAAGACTCGTGAGAGTCGAAATGTCAGTTATCATCATTAAATAAACCTTAAAACTTATCCTGTGTTGATTGTTTGTTCCACTTTTATTGTTTTTCTTGAATTATTACATCTACATGTAGCAATGAGGTTAAATTGTCAAATGGTGAAAAAAAAAATGCTGTTGAAAACGATGAACAAACAGAAAATCTAATTTTGAAGGGGTGACTATGATTCAGATTCTAATTCTTTTTATTGAAAACATCTGCAAAGAAAGTTAATTTGAAAAATGTCTTCAGAGATTTATAACTGAAACATTTACCTTCTCTTCCAGTTTGGCAATACATGTTACTGTAATTCTGTTCTACAAGCCTTGTATTTCTGCCGTCCAGTACGAGAGAAAGTGCTCCAGTATAAACATCAACAAAAAAATCAAAAGAAAGAGACTTTGCTTTCGTGTCTAGCCGATCTGTTTTATAATATAGCCACACAAAAGAAAAAAGTCGGAACCTTAGCCCCAAAACGTTTCATCACACGCTTAAGAAAAGAATGTGGTAAGTTGAATTGTCACTGTTTTTACTACAATGTTATATAATTTTTCTACATAATTGTACTTGATTTAGGAATGTTGAATAGTCGATGCTAATGTAGTCACCCATTTGTCGGCGTCAGCGTCCCTGTGGTTAAGTTTTTGCGTGTAAGCAAGTATCTCCATAACTACTGAAGGTAATGGGTTGAAACTTCACACGAATATTCTCTGTGATTTTCTAACATGATTGGCACAAGTCCCATAACTTTGATTTGCTTTTTTGTTTGATTATGCCCCCTTTTTCAACTTAGAAATTCTTGGTTAAATTTTTGCGTGTAGCAAGTATCTCCATAACTACTGAAGGGTTTATGCCTTTTTTGAAACAATTTTATGCATTCATAATAATAAAGCAGTGATTAACTTGATAAAACATCTTAATAACAAGCCTTTGTACCTTTTTGGACAATTTTATGTATTCATATAGGTAAGCATTATTAATCTATACTCAATGAAACACCATTGTGACAACCTTTTCGAATAGTCAAGCGTTACTGTCCTCCGACAGTTCTTGTTCATAAATGTTACTACTTTAGGTTACACTGTACCAGTCTTCATATTCTATTTTAAATTAAATATTGATTCAGGGCTCTAAAATTTTTATTTGGCTTCATTCTGTTCTTTTATCTTTGAAATACATCATGTGAAGCTATATAGTTTAGCATTTCCACATCCGATTATTTCTTTATCAGATACTTACTTAAAACATATTAGATAGATAATATCATGTATTTCTATAGAATCTATTTACTTAAAAACTTGTAGTATGTTTTTATTAGCTCACCTGTCACAAAGTGACAGGGTGAGCTTTTGTGATCGCTTTTCGTCCAGCGTCCGTCCGTCCGTCGTCCCTCCGTCTGTAAACTTTTGCTTTAAATGACATCTCCTCATAAACCACTGAGCCAATTTCATCCAAACTTCACAGGAATGTTCCTTTGGTGTTCACCTTTAAAAATTGTTCAAAGAATTTAATTCCATGCAGAACTCTGGTTGCCATGGCAACCAAAAGAAAAAACTTTAAATATCTTCTTTTAAAAAACCATAAGATCTAGAGCTTAGATATTTGGCATGAAACATCTTCTAGTGAGTGTCTACCAAGTTTGTTCAAATAAAAGCCCTGGGGTCAAAATTGGCCCCGCCCCTGGGGGTCATTGATTTTCCCTATATGCATAAAGTAAAAACTTAAAAAATCTTCTTTTAAAGAACCGTAAGAGCTAGAGCTTAGATATTTGGCATGAAACATCTTCTAGTGAATGTCTACCAAGTTTGTTCAAATAAAAGCCCTGGGGTCAAAATTGGCCCCGACCCAGGGGGTCTTTGATTTTCCCTATATGCATATAGTAAAAACTTAAAAAATCTTCTTTTAAAGAACCCAAAGAGCTACAGCTAAGATATTAAGCATGAAACATCTTCTAGTGAGTGTCTACCAAGTTTGTTCAAATTAAAGCCCTGGGGTCAAAATTGGCCCCGCCCCAGGGGGTCATTGATTTTCCCTATATGCATATAGTAAAAACTTAAAAAATCTTCTTTTTAAGAACCATAAGAGCTAGAGCTTAGATATTTGGCATGAAACATCTTCTAGTGAATGTCTACCAAGTTTGTTCAAATAAAAGCCCTGGGGTCAAAATTGACCCTGCCCCAGGGGGTCATAGATTTTCCCTATATGCATATAGTAAAAACTTAAAAAATCTTCTTTTAAAGAACCCAAAGAGCTAGAGCTAAGATATTTAGCATGAAACATATTCTAATGAGTGTCTACCAAGTTTGTTCAAATAAAAGCCCTGGGGTCAAAATTGGCCCCGCCCCCAGGGGGTCATTGATTTTCCCTATATGCATATAGTAAAAACTTAAAAAATCTTCTTTTAAAGAACTCAAAGAGCTAGAGCTAAGATATTTAGCATGAAACATGTTCTAATGGGTGTCTACCAAGTATGTTCAAATAAAAGCCCTGGGGTCAAAACTGGCCCCGTCCAGGGGGGGGAGGGGGGGGGTCATTGATTTTCCTTATATGTGTATAGCAAAAACTTAAAAATCTTTTTTGGAAAAACCCAAATAGCTAGAGTTTAGATATTAAGCATGAAACATCTTTAAGTAAATATCTACAAAGTTTGTTAAAATAAACGCCCGGGGGTCAAAACTGGCCCTGCCCCAGGGGTGACATTGTTTTTAACTATATGTGTATAGTAAAAACTTTAAAAATCTTTTTTTAAAAATGCCAATGAGCTAGAACTTAGATGTTTAGCATGAAACATCTTCTTATGGGTGTCTACCAAGTCTGTTCAAATAAACAAATAAAAGCCCTTGGTTAAAAATTGGCCCGGGGGTGGGGGGCCTATATACAGGTGAGCGACCTCAGGGCCATCATGGCCCTCTTGTTATTTTACACTTTTAAATGATGTAATTGTTTACCTCATGATGTTTGAACATTTGAGTTTGAATATTTTTATTTCTTTTTCAGAATTATTTGACAACTATATGCAACAAGATGCACATGAGTTCTTGAATTATTTACTAAACAGAGTGGCAGAGTTGTTACAAGGTGCGTTATCTATATTAAAGGCCCATTATGCTCCAGAAATGCTTTTATTTTCATTTCTGAAATACTTTGTTTTTTGTGCCCTGTTATAGTTTCCAAAATAATTTCTCATTGGCCATCTTTTGCATCTCTTGCATTTTGGCCATTAGTAATTTAGTATTTTGAGTGGAAGTCAAGATACTGCTTTGTTTACATTTTGCTACTTCATTGACAAATACTTTCACATTCAGCGCTACATTTTTTCTGGAAATAAGCATTTAAAATTCTCCAAAACCATTATTTTAAACGTTGTAAAACTTATGTTTGACTTTACGAAAGAATGAAAAATTTATTGATTTTCTGAGGAATAATGTGTCTTTGATTTATTTCATATATAATGTTTATGCTTTGAAAATAAAATGTAAAAAGACCTGTGTCAAATTATCAACATTTTGCCAGTACATGTATGTTATTTATTTCTTTGTGTTTTTGTTTAAAGAAAAATAAAAATCCATTGTGTAAGAATAATTTTGTAGCTGAAAATTATACTAATGAATTGCTTCAATCAAATAAACCATATTTGCTTTTATTCTATGTAAAACAGCAAATATGTAAAACCACTGTGTCCGATAACAATGAATTTTTATATTTATTCAACACATGTAGAAAACTTGAAAGGTTATGGAGCACTAAGTCAGTCTATTTCATACTGTTAGTAAAGTTTAGCCCCTTTAAAATATTGGAAAAAAGATAAACAGTACTGCAGAGAATTTCTATGTTAACTTTTATAAGCATTGATCTTTTGTCCTGTACTTAACTGATGAAATGTTGTTGATCCCTGTACAAGCAGTGGCTAGGTCATCAATAAATAATTGATTTGTTTAAATAATGGACATTCTCACAGGGGGATACTTATTTTGTAACATTATTATTCCTGTATGCACGTAAGAGCATCGGGCTTAATAGAATGACTCCTATATATTGTTCATTTATCCATGTTAGTATCCAATTATTAGTACATGTATATATGATATGCTAATACAGTTATAGGATTACAGAGATCAAAGGATAATTAGGTTATGGCCTGTAGTCTAGTTACATAAGGTCTGGGTCAGTCTGTATACGCATATATTTATGACTTTTCAAATATAGCTTTAACCCTTATCCTTACGATTTTGTTAAATGGATATCTTTAGCTTCCATTTTTGGAACTGTCTGTTATCAGTTTTTGAGACATCAATATGAAAAATTTAAGTTAAATGGTCAGTAGCTTGTTGTCTGGCAAAGGCTGAAAACTTTCAGTTATAACATTGTAATGGTCAAGATACCACAACCTCTTACAATGACTGGCAATTTCCAACTTTAAAGCACTACAAATTCTTTATACAACTTAAGAAGATGTATGGTTAAATAATTTGGAAAAGTTTAATTGTACGAGGGGTTATCCAAAAATTCGTGGACTTTGTTGCGTAAAATATATTAGAGATATTGATTTGAAATTCTTACATTGCTTAGAATAATAAATAACAAATAAACACAGAAAAATTCATGTTAGTAGCTTCTTATATTACAGCAATATTTAATTTTACATAAACACATGTCCGCGACAGCGACGCACTCCAAAAAGTTATTGACGTCAACGTCATAATATTTAACGTACAACTTATGCTTAAACGTTACGCAGTCAATAACCATTAATGCTTCACAAAGTAATGTCCATCACTAATTTTTTATGCCACTTAAACTCTAATGATAGTGAAATTTTATTTTCTCTGTTCGACTGCTGTTTTATTTCCAAATGTTTTGTTAGTGTCATTTCCCAAATTACAACAAAATTTGATGATCACGCTATTTTCTTATTTCTCTGCATATCCGTCATTTTCCCGTTGTAAACAATATCGTCGTCCGGCGTTTCTGGCGATTTTAACAAAAATTGACGGAAATGACGTCCATTATTTTAAAGAATTACTTAAATGACATCATAGAAGAAATATGCGATGTTTAGCGGTTTTTCTCCGTTAATTAGTATTTTTTTAGCAAAAAATATACGATGACTAACTGCGCTTTTCTACCGTGTGCCGGGTGGCGTGTATGTGCTTATTTAAAAGCAATATGAAATCATTATTTATTGACGCAGTTAACTATTCGTTTCAAAACATGTTGATTATATTCTACAATGTATGCGGATAAAATTTTATTGTAATACACGTTGACGTTCAAAAGATATTTAAAAAGTCCACGAATTTTTGGATAACCCCTCGTATAACGCAAATTGTTTCAGGCTGTAGTTATAGATATCTAGAAAAAAGTGTTGTCATACTGTTTTCAGTCAGTGAACAACATGCATAAAGAAATGTTTCAGAGAAATAATTCTTTGATATTGTCATGTAAATAAAACAAAAATGTTGAAATTCTTTATATGTGTATCCATATTTTACAGCTGAGAAGCAAGGTGGGAAGAACAAGACAGGAGAAAACAATTCACAGACAAAACCTGAACCAACATGGGTAGAGGAATTATTCCAGGGAACATTTACCAATGAAACAAGGTGCCTCAATTGTGAAACTGTAAGTATATACATGTACTAGTAATCTGATGACTACTATATGTGAAGCAACTTCTTTAACTTCTATAGTTTTTATATATAAAAATTCATAGACTACACTCCTCCTACTATGCCAATTACTGATATTTCTCTCCATCTCTTGCCCTTTGGCTCCACTACTTTCTAAAAAAATTTGATATACAAATTTAAGAAATCCCGACCAAGAGTAGTTTATTTTGCACGAAAGACTAGCTCTTGATACAGTTTGATATTTTTCTAAAACACTTTTCCAAGAAATCCGAAGTGTAAAGCGTTTCCATGGTTAAAAGTTTGATATTTAACAAATCATTGTTCATTTCATCAAGGGGAATAGTTCTCCTAGGATTAATATAATTTTCTTTTTGAAATATCTTAGATCATTGGAAGCCTAAAATAATCCTACCCAAACTACATTGTTTGATTTTTGAAAAAAAACTTAAATGAATAACAAGACAAAAACATAAAGAAACTTACAATTAGCCGTTTAAATCAACCTTCCGCTCTATCTCGGAAATGCTGTTTGCTAGTTTTACCGTACACCACAATTTTGAAGTGGAGCGACAGTTTATATCAGTGTATATATGCTTTGAATACAAACAATTTTATTAAAATGTTGACTGAGTAATTGTGTTTTGTTTTCCAATATTTTCATCAGTTAAAATCATTTATGTTGTATTGTTTGTTTAGAAAAACAAAATATGATCTGATTAGATATCAAGATGTTTTTGATGCAAACTATGGAACAATTAGCTTGATTTACATCCAAGAACAGCGGTTATCTGAAGTACACATAGTTAATAATTCTAATAATATGAAAGCAATAGCCTCCAGAAAAAAGCTTGAAACATATGCTGTATAACTTACTGATAGATGAATAGATTAAGGTCACATTCAGTGTAGTTTAAAACTTTGTAAAACTGTGAAAAATCATGCATGTTAATGGGTATTCTTCTGTTTGCCATAATCTGTCTCCTAGACAATGTCTTTGTTCTTGTTTGCCACCAGGTATTGAAAATAACTGTGAACTCTGGTTCCCACTATAATTACAGTAAAAATTATGTAAAATGAATGAAGGCTCACTGTTTGCGAAAACCAGTGCCTACTCCTGACTTGAAATGTTTAAAATTAGTACTAAGTTTTACCTGGCTGAAAACATCTCACCAAACCCCAACATATTTACTAAAATTTATGATTTTCGGCAGTCATCTCCGCAAATTCAAATAGCATGAATATTTGTATAGACCCCCAAAATGGACCTTTGATCTGCAAAAAATATGCTTCTGCGAATTCAAATACACATACAGTATCTTTTATATTTTCAAAAGCTGAATAGGAAATCATAAAAGTAGCTGAAGTATTTTTGTATTTATTTTTCTGTTGAAATCACTCATGCATGATTTTCTTTATATTGTTAGGTAAGCAGCAAAGATGAAGATTTTCTGGATTTATCGGTGGACGTTGAACAGAATACATCAATAACACACTGTCTGAGAGGTTTTAGTTGTACAGAAACACTATGTGCCGAACACAAATACTATTGTGAGGTGTGTTGTAGTAAACAGGAGGCTCAAAAAAGGTAACATAATCATCTACAATTATTAATCCTGTACAGTTATATTTAGTTATGAAACAGATTGTCAGCGTATGTATGTACAGTTAGACTACTTCTTTTCAATAATATCAAACCTTTTGAAAAGCCACTAAAGAAATTTGAAGGGAGAAATTAACAAAATTCATTTTCACAAAAGAGACTTCTTGAAAGTAACTAGCCTACTAAAATTTAATGAGAAAAAGGACTAGAAATATTACATAACTGTTAATTTGAATAAATCTAGCATTCTTTCAAAAACAGCTGTTAATGAGAATAATAAAGGGCTATTCATTGCAAACCTCTGTAAACCAGGCATCTGTACCATGAGGAAAAACCACTACAAAAAACAAAAAAAGTAAAACTGAGTTTTCATTCATTTTTTTTCTCAACAGATTTGAATTAATGGTAATCACTTTGAAAATTATGAATAAATTATTTCTATTTCAGAATGAGAGTAAAAAAACTGCCACAGATATTAGCTTTACATTTGAAACGTTTTAAATATACCGAACAGCTGAAACGTTTTACCAAGTTATCTTACAGAGTTGTCTTTCCTTTAGAGTTGCGCCTTTTTAATACTGTAAGTATATCTTGTGTACTGTTGGGATGTTAAAGTGTTTAATGACACTTGGACATTTATAGTTGAGTTATGAAAACATTTTAAGGTGTATCCGTGGCCGATTGGTTAAGGTTGTTGACTTAAAACCTCTTGTCCTTTACAGCTGTGAGTTCAAATCCTGACAGGGACTTTGGATTCTTTCATGTGAGGAAGCTATCCAGCTAGCTTATGGAACGTCGGTGGTTCTACTCAGGTGCCCATTTGTATAAGTATTTTTATGTTAAACAGGTGTATAAAAACAAATCTAAGGGGCTCCTATTGATAGATGAAACTAAATTTAGCCACTGTATTCATATTTTATTAGGGGTGAACAAATACTTTTTTGCATACCGGTAATTATCATGCATTTTCCTTTATGCTCATATTACATTGTAAGTCTAGGTCGGTGGCTGACTTGGTGAGTGACTAGTATAGACAATTAGCTTTAATCTCAAGATAAAACAAAACAACATTAAAGTTAAAGGGCCTCCACTGAAGTGTTTTGTCATAATGGAACTGGAAATATTTTTTTCAAGATGTTCTTACCATTTTAATGTGGGTCTAGACCAATGACTTGTGTGCAAAATATATGATCATTTATAAGCTCACTCCCTATTTCCAGTATAATCATAAAAAGGTGCAAAATGATTTAAAAAAAACAAAACAAAAAACCATGGGCGTTTTAATATTAAATCATGCTAAGAATTACACTTCAGATTATCAATTAAATTCTTGGCATATTTCTTTATTATCTTTTGCATATTTTTCAGTTTTAAGTGCCCCAGTTGATATATATTAGATTTTCAAATTTTATGCTTTTGGACCTCAGTGGATCTCCTTTAATCAATTTTCCTGTACATATTTCAGTCAGATGATGCCTATAACCCGGAGAGAATGTATGATTTAGTAGCTGTAGTTGTACATATTGGTAGCAGTTTAAATCGGGGACACTATATCAGTATAGTCAAATCAGAGGATATCTGGATCCTCTTTGATGATGATCTAGTTGATGTAAGTAAAAATACTTCAAGATTTTTTGCAATATTAAAGAACTAAAAGATTTTATCTGCTTGTTGAATTTCTTTTTTTTTGACATGTTCAATAAATTGTGCTTATGCAGACATTTCAGCTTAGAATCTGTTTAACTTTGAGTCTATAAACTTGGTGTATCAAATTTGGTTTTTAGAGATCAAGCCAGCAATTATGTATATTTTACATAGTCCTTTTGATATTTCATTTTCATGAATGAATATAATTAAATTGTTGTACATAAAGATGAGCTGTGTCTGCTTAATTTAAAATAAAATATTTATGATCTGTTCTGATACACTTGAAATTCATTTGCCCTGCCAAAACATTGTTTTTTTTCTTCTGTTTATGTTTTTTAAATCCACATACCCAGCACATTCAAATCTTTTCATTTCACCATATTTCATGTTTTTGTAACTATGGTTTCTACATAAATAATCCAATGCTGTCATCATTGTAAGGTTACATCCTTCCTGAGGTTTACAGAGAAAACAGAACAGATATATAAACAATTAAACAAGTGTGTAGAAAGAATATTAATTAATCTACAGAGATCTGTTTTATGGTTTCTTTTGTAAATTAAAAGCCAGTGTTTTTCTATTTACTGTCAGAATATAGGGCAAAACTAAACTAACATGTTGTTTATTAGCTATACTAGTTCAGTCAACAAGGAAGGTGCATGCAATAAAAAAACAAAACAACATTTTGTTATTTTGCAGAAAGTAGATGCCAATGCTATGGAAGACTTCTTTGGCTTATCATCAGATATCCAGAAAAACTCAGAGACGGGTTACATATTATTTTACCAATCAAGAGAATAGATTTGAATTGTTAAAAGTGATCTCCCTGAGTCGACAATTTACTGGATATTCCTTGAGAATAAATATTGTTGATTACATAGGAATACTTTGACATAGTGGTAACAATCAAAGAGATTTAATTGAGCCGGGTCACAACAAAACCAACATAATGCGTTTGCGACCAGCATGGATTCAGACCAGTCTGATCAGGATTCATGCTGTTTGTTATCAGTATCTCTACTTGTAATAGAGTTGGTAAGCGAACAGCATGGATCCTGCTCAGACTGTGTGGATGCGCAGGCTGGTCTGGATCCATGCTGGTCGCAAACGCACTATGTTGGTTTTGTCGTGACGCGGCTCAATTATGTTTTTAACAGTGACAGAATATCCCTGATATACAACAAGTTATGTATGTTTTATAATTATTCTGGTTTTTTTCCTTATGATAATATACAAATCTTGTTGAATAATCATACACACAGTCTTATTGAAAACCTTGACTTATGATTTATTTGGCAAAAAAGAAAATTAAATTTGAGCCATGTCATGACAAAACCAACATAGTGCGTTTGCGACCAGCATGGATCCAGACCAGCTTGCGCATCCGCGCAGTCTGATCAGGATCCATTCTGTTCGCTTACCAACTCTACAACAAGTAGATAAACTGATAGCGAACAGCATGGATCCTGATCAGACTGCGCGGATGCGCAGGCTGGTCTGGATCCATGCTGGTCGCAAACAAACTATGTTGGTTTTGTCATGACGCGGCTCATTTGTTTTAGTCCATCTGTGCCCAAATAACTCTTGAGGAAAAAAAAATGAAAAGGAAGGTCCAAAGTTTTACTTTCCCATATTAACAACACAACAATTTATACTGTGGAATGATATTCTATTATTGTGGAATAATATTTTATTATGAAAATGTGTGGCGATATCTTGGTTGCATCACCATATAACATCCTGATACTTATATTTTAGACAATATGACCGTCCTTTGTAATATTGGTAATGTTCATGCCTTACTTAGTTCATATCCGCTATACCATACATCCGTCTTATATTTGCTTTATTTTGTCTTAGAGCCTAGATCTTGACTAGAACAAAATTTAAATCTCGAAATCAGTATTTATACATCATTCCACTAGCTTCAAATAAAGTAATAAAGTAATAAACAATCAGCAGTTAATTAGTCTTGCAAACTATAGTACTTTTCAAAAAGTTAAAAACCAGACAGAAGAAAAATGTACTGCCAGATAGTGATACCTCAATATTGTTTCATGATACTGTAGCGTAAGAGCAGTAATTACGATTCATCAATTTATTATTATTTTATACATATAACTGAATCATTGAGAACTATTGATGAAATAAAATGCATATTTCATTTTCAATATTTTTACTTTCAAAATATTTTCCATATTTTCACTAGCATCTTGGTGGACTTCTTCTAAATTTAGCAGATACACCAAACTTAAGGGGAAGTCTTTCAAATTGTAATGTCAAGAAAAAAGAGAAAAATATCTATACTAAACAGAAAATTCAAGATGTTTTTTTCTACAAATAAAGGATTTATTTTCATCTTGTGGTATGAAAAATATCATACTTATTTTCATACCACTCAGTAAATTCTTTATTTATAGAAAAAAACTTGAATATCCTCAATATATCGATACAAATGATCAGGAATAGGTTGTTAAGGTTTTACAATAAGACTGATAATAATTATTTTTGTTGGAGATATAGAAAATTTATATACTTTTGTTATCAATGTGCAATTAGCAGTGATGTATACACTGTTTTTGTTGAACTTGATTTCTCTTCTTGTCTTAATTTTAGTATATTTTTATGTTGATGTTGTTGTTGGGATTTGCTTGTTTAGTTTTATATAAAGAATTGAAATGTATTGTCCCCATTACCAGATAGTTTTCAGTAAGTTATGTGAAGACTTGGAGAATTTTTAATCATTATTGTGTAACTGAAAAAAAAAAAATTTGACATGGTTATAGATTTTTAGCTCTACTTATTGACGACTGTAGGAACTCTCCTCTCCTTATTCAGACATTGATGTAGATAAAGGTATATATTAAAATTTTGTGTGTAATTTAAATTTTTATAAACAGTTAAAGTTTTTTTTTTTTTTAAAGATAAAATGTTGCCCATGTATTCCCAGTTATAAGTGTAGACTACTATCCAAGAGACCAAGACACATAAATCTAGCATTGGTGTTTTACAGAATTATTCCCCTTTATTAATTAGAAAAGTTAAGGTTAAGTTTTTTTATGTGCAAATACTGATTAGCTTTAAATTTGATTGACATGTTAGATAAAATTATGTGTGGCCTTTAATGGATAACTGACCTTTTGCAATTACTGTGACTTATTATTGAGCAAAACTTGCTTTTATACAGTGCTTTTTGTCCATAAAACGTTTTGATAATCTGTACATTTTGTTATGTTTTAAAAATAGAAAGATTTTTGTTTTTACTTGTATTTTAGCTGTCAATATCATTGACATGTATAAGCATAGAAAGTGAAAACAATTCATTATATTGTTTCAAACTTGGAAGTTAAGATTATTTTGATATAGATGTATATTTTTTGTCAAAAAGTGCTAAAGTTAGATTTTGCCATGCTTATTTAACCCCAAAAGTGATTAGCCTTTGCCAAATGCATATACAGTCCAACCCCGTTTATTCGAAGTGATGGGGACTGAAAATTTACTTCGCATAATCGATGGGTTCGAATAATCGAAATTGGAATATTTTGATAGACGAAAACGACTCCACTTTGGTAAATCATAGGATAACTACCCATTACAACAAACTTGTTCCCTGCAATCAATTGTGAAAGATAAATATTCAAGAAAAGATACATAAAAATAATTTTTTCTTGCTATTGAAGACATAAATACTTGCATTTTATTCTACATTGTGTATTATTTAGTTTCGTGCAAAGCCTTGATAATGGCCGTGCTGTCAATACGGTATTTACAGCTAAACATAAGGGTAAAGGCTCTCGTGTAGCATTACAATTAATGAAGAAGAAAAAAAATTATGTTGGCTATTTTGACAGATTCACATTTAGAGTATTTATGAAAATTATCGCTGTCATCGGACACGGTGCATAATGCATAATTTTTCAATTTCGGTAATTAAAGTTAATAAAAGAACACTCAATGCGTAATTATCACGTTTGTCTAATAACACACATGACTGTTGGAAACTTTTCACAAATAGAACGGTCAGCAAGTGGATCTGCGCCAATTAGTCTGGCTTCGAATAATAGGTGTGAAATTTTTTCATAATTGTATTATCGGGGCCAAAATTTTACTTAGAAAAATAGGAGATATTCAGATAATGCATTTCGAATAATACCTTCAAATTTATATTGATTTACATTGAGATAAAAACGGGACCGCCGATCTACTTCGGATAATGCCGGGTATTCGAATAAAGGGTTGTCGAATAACGGGGGTTGGACTGTAGCTTTTATTGTTGACTGACTATCTTAAAGATATTCATCTTAATATCCTAAAATTGATTAATTTACGATCCTAACGGCAGAAAACTGGACAAGTACATGTGAGAAATTCAACTGGTTAATGATCAAGTCTTTGCTGTTTAAGAAAAAACATATCCCCAACAGTGATTTATCACTTAATGAAATCACTGTTTGGTGTTTGGATGTGAGAAATTGTATCACGTAGGTGTAGGAAATATTATTTCGATTCTAATACGACATCGGCAAATAAATGCTGCCATACCTGATATCAAGCTAAGCTGGAAGTGATTTGTTCTGTACTTGTTTTCATGTGGCATTTTAATGGTTTTGTCACATATCTAAATATAGATCATCAACAGTGATTTTATTGCATAATTACACACACTTTCGGTCCTTCTATGTTAAAAAGTTCAATACTGCGGGTCATTTTAAAATAATATATATTTTACCTACCTTATTATTTTTCAAACATAAACAGCAGATGATAAAGTATGTTTAAAACATGTCATTATATTGAAAGTGAATTTGGTTCATACCAGAAATTATAAGAAAAGTATAAGAATTTTGAAAAATTTACTTGGTAATTTAAAATTGCAAAATTTAAATGTTGTTTTTAGTAAAATTAGTTGCATTATTCTACCTGATATTGCTGCCCTTGTTTCTAACGTGAAGGTACATGTATGTGTGAATGCATTTTGTATTATATATAAGTTGCAAATGCTTTTTTCTCCATTTCAACATCAATTTATAAATTTTATGCAGCAAATTATTGCTAAAAATTTTTGGATTTTTTTTATTTGATAAATAGATATTGTCTGTTTTGATGAATTTAACCCTTAACCTGGTGGATTTCTTAAAAGGATTTGTCCGATTTTGTATTTTATGAACTGTCCATTGTCAATTTTGGGGAAATCATGATGAAAATGTAAAGTAAGTCACCCAACTGTATAGAGCCTGGTCAGACTTGCACTTATTGAAGGCTGATGTGGCTCTATACTGGTGACAAAGGATCACTTTTCTTTCTCGGTTCCACCAGGTTAAGGGTTAAAGCACAAAAATATAGGTAAGAGAATGTTTGATCAACAAGGTACTACAAAGCTGTGTAAATTCTACAAAATATCTCAAATAATTTTAAAGTGCCATTTGATGTACACATTTCACATTATAATATTGATTGAGTGTTCATGTATAAACCTACCATGTTTGAAAGCACTTATTATACGAAATCGTCCATTATTTTGTACAATACAATGTCCAATAATATTCCTGCACCAATTTATTATAATTGATTGTGTTACCATCTTCAGCATGTATTTTCTTTTCATCTATTTATATTAACATGGTTCATTCTGTTACATGAGCTGTTTCAATGAAACTTTCATATTATTCAGTTTTCTGTTTCTTCTATGTTATTATTTTTTCTCAGAAATTTTATGTTCAGTAAAAAAAGTACTTTCCTCATTATGCTTTACTTCGGTATATACATGAACACATTACCAATTTAAGGTATTAGGACCCTAATGGGCACTATCAGGAACTAAAAAACTGACATCATAAGTCAGATGTATACCTTAAAGTACACCTGTATGCAAAATTTAAACAAAGTTTACCGTACGGAAATCAAGTTATGGCCACTTTTCTGAACTCAAGCTAGGATGTTATGAGGACCCTTTTTTAGAAATTAGGAACCTTTAAATAGTCTGCAA